ATCGGTATGTAGTAAGTGTAACAACATACCGATGTTACACTTTAAAAAAATCTTTTTTGTTGTTACACTTTGAAAAAATTCGATTGTGTTGTTTCATTTCAATAAATTTTTTTATTTTTGTTTCGCTTATATGTGTTGTGAATAGAAGTTGCGTTTTCATTCTCGGACATTCATATATATATATATACGTATAAAAATGCTTCAATTTGTCTTCGAAATAAACAGAAAATTGAAATCGTCCAGCAGCATTTGTAAAATTAAAATCTTAAGATCAAAATTATAAAACGCTAACATTCTTCTATGTTCATTTTCAATATTCCCACGTTAAACTTTGCATTTATCACAACTGTTGGATATAGTCGAGTAGTTGTAGTCGGCCTTCCGAAATGAAACACATGGAATTGCATACAAAATTATAGGCCTATACAAGAAATGTGCCATACTGAACTCAAGTTTAAATTAACTGTGTTAATTTGATGAAAATGATTTGTCTGAGGAAAGGAAAAGAAAAAGACAATAACCAAAAATAGTCAAAGATATGATCCATTTGCTTTGTGTAGTTGAATGGCCTTTAAAACTTCAAAACTGATTTACTGATTTGTATTGTTCAGCGTGGCACATTTTTTTTCTGTCTATTCTTTTATTTCTAAAGAAATTTATCTCTTTAATTCGCACAATATTACGAATGTAGACCATGAATTCACACCACATTCGGCAGACTGTTTTGGTTTTCTTCTTCTTGTTTTCAACACACAAAAATGACATTTATTGAAAAATCGAAACCTCGCTCTACCAAAGCCAAATATTTGTAAAAAAATCTGTCTACAGCAATTTCGCTAACCTTTTCTCTCTCTCTCTCCCTCTCGCTCACTATCTTCCTAGCGTTATTCTTACATATGTATATATTATGTACATGAAGAAAAACAAACATATAATAATGATAAAACAAAGGGCAAAGTAAAACTAATCGTTCAATGTCATTATTAAATACGACCGCAAGTAGTCAATTGCCACCAATTTCGTATTGAAACACAATGTTTATAAATATGCACGTTCGCTAAGCTAGTCTATTTTATAAGTTAAAATGCAAACGATTCTATTTTGTTATGTTCATATTGGTTGGCGTACGTCATTTGGCGAATTGGTGTCCCTTGTGCAAAAATCGAACGATTCGCAACTATTCTAGAATCGGTAATAGGAAACTGGGTGTCAATGCGAATTGCATTGGCTAAATCACACCCACACATGGAAATTAAGTGTATGTTTTTTTCGGTGATCGGTTCAATGCAACCTATCAATTAAATTTAAATCGATCTAATTAATTCTATCTAGTCGAACTTCGAATAGAATTGGAATCAGCAAATGTGTCTATTCACTTGCATGCTCTCTCTTTTTTTTTCTGCACCAGGGATTTTGTTCGCTTTTTATTGATTTATCGCCGTTATTTTGTCCGTTTTCTTTTTCATTTCAAATGCCTTGCAAAATGGTCAACAAATGATGGATCCGTTGCGAATGCATTCGTTTAAAATACTATAAATTTTGTGGTGACACCACCGCCACCGTTTCGGCCGTGATTTGTGAGTCTTTTTTGGCGGTGTCGGTGTTATTGTCGGGCGATGCAATCAAATTTTGATTGAGCCGATCATTTTCATATTCCACAAAATCATCGAATAAGCTAGGCCATGCTTCAGTGTCATCGTACGCAGTTATATCACATGTTTCGGCAAAATTTAAAAACATATTCCATGTATCTTTTGGTATGCCCCGTATATTTGTGTGCATTTCTAAATAATCTAGCCATCTATCTAAAATATCCGGTTTGTGAACGGTGAAAACAAGACGCCATAAAATAATTGCCATATCTAACAATACGATGCGATTGTCGGGCTCGAGACCAAAACGAAATGTAAATCGATACAGTTGCTTAAACATGTCCGAATTGACTTTAAGCTTTTCGATCGTTTGCTCCAGCCGGAGTCGAATACCGTCAACGGTATCGGCATTCAGTGCATGTAATCCCTGAATAAACTCACTCTTTGTGAAACGACACATTTGCGATGCATCCAATCGCCACGCCAAAACCAATATTGCAAAATCATCCGGTTTATAGTTTAGATCTTCGCACAGCCGTTCAATTCCCTCCATTAGAATAGCATCCTCATGCTCGTCTTTGTATTTTTCGAATAGAGCATTCACGGTGTTGTCTGATACCTGATAATTGTGGTCCTTGGCTGCATTCGGAAAATTGTATGGAGTGATCAGTATTTGGCATAAACGGATTTTTTTTTCATTTCAAAGTCAAATCAATTGTCAAATCACCTGTAGCAGAGTTCACTTCATGCGTCGCGTTGCTGGCACCATTCGATAGAATTGTGGATTTCCTCATCGAACTGGTGGCCATCGCTCCGCTACTTCCAATGTGCACTTCGTGATTTCGTACTTCCGTACCGGGTATTGAACTATCCGCTAGTATTTCGTCAGCTTCTGTAATGTCGAAATCAAGAATCGAAAAAAATGAATAAAATTATTTTGGTAAATGAATAAAAATAATATGGTGTAGGGACTGACTTTGCCGTTCAATATGGTGAGCGGTGTCGATGGGTGAGCGTGATTCAACGCCCGCATCGAAACTGTCCGCATTTCGGCTATTGTTGAAGTGTTTCGGCTTCTTGGAATGAAAACATGAAAACCAGTTCCCCATCGCGGTTGATTATTTTTCTGTTCAGGAATTATGTGATGTGTTCCGATCAAATGATTTCCATTAAACTATTTGCACGGTATGTGTGTGTGTGTGTGTGTGTGTTTTTCTCTGACTGTTGTTCTATCCTCTAATGACAACCATCCAGTGGCAGTTGTTGGCTATTGTGGGCGCATGGGCTGTTCACTGTTGCTTCTTATTTCGAGTCAGAACTTTTCGACTATTGCACTTATTTGCGATTTGACAGTCGTACCATATTGTTTATACTTGTTGAATAGTTTAGAAGAACACTTTCGTTCGATGAAGGGTTTCAAGAGGGTTGGTCCAAATTTATCCGAATCGTGACAGCGATATTAGATTAAAAACATTACGTTTGTTTGGCACTTTGTTCAACAAAATAAATTGTAAATAAAATTTCAGCTAAGTCGTCGAGTGACGCATCGTTGCCTACTCATCTACGGACTCTATTCGTCGTTTCGTCTGAAATTGAAAATGAAAAAAAAACAAACAATGAAAACACATGCATCATACACGTACATACATCACATTTATAGCTATTGATTTAACACACAGTGCAAAAGTGAACTGAAATTGTACATGCAGTGCGTATGCACCGAAACCGAAAGACGTAAGAAACCGAAATAGGTTCATTGAAATAAATACACAAAAAAATAACAACTGAACAATGTCGCGTCTTTTTTCATCGGTTCAATATTTAGCAACAACAAAAAACAGCAGCAAAAACAACTCATTGCATACATGTAAATATTTGAGCAATCGCCAACATGGCTGAACGAATTACAATGTTTCTGTTCTTATTTTTATTTTTGTTGTTTTTTTTTCTCGTTAGAACACGAAATACTGTCGTACATAAAACTGACTACTTGGAACCACCGATTAGAAGTACTTGACACTCGGCCAACCTAAGTAACATTTAACTTGTTTGCTTCACTAATCAGCATCTATAGAACATTCACATTTGTGTCAGGCAAGCAAGCAAGAGCGAGAGACGAGTGATAAAATTACCTTTCTTCGGCTACACCACTACCATATGTGTATTGCACTTGAACGTTTCACATTGAGCTCAATTGTTTATTGCTATTTTACTTGACGTAGTCGCTGTGCTGTGCTGCGTCTCTCGGTTTCTTCTCGTCTCTTGTTTGGTTTCTGTTTGTAATCGTTTTGACTTCGTCTTCGTTTTGTTTTGTTTCGTGTCACCGTGTTTGGCGTTTGGCTTACCGTTCCATCCGAAGAAGACTACACACTCACATTGGCCGTAATTGTTTTGGCTATCAATTTTTCTTGTAAAATTGCATTCGAATTGTACTTATTTCATTGTGTGCTGTTTTTGTTTCTATCTTGCTACTGCTGCCTCTGCTGCTGATGATGTTTTTTGTTGTTATTGTTGTTCCGCGAACCAACCAAACCAATTAAACCGAATTGCACTGCACACCACAATCAATATATGTATATATCGTTCGCTCTGTTCCGCCTGCTCCAAATGCCCGTGCTCACTTTTGCCTTCGTTCAATAATAACAACATTCGATTTCGTTGCCATTCAATGAAAATGTTATGATATTACAAGTTGTCTACTTTTTGCCCATTTCAGCATTTCACACATTCACAACAGCCTCTAGTGTGTCATATACATACAGACCAGTGGCAATGAATTATTCCGACCGAACAAGATAATTTATCAGTTGTGGTAACATTACAATGTTTGAAACGTCACACACACACACATACACACGCACACAATCTCCTCTCATTCTGTCACACAACATCCATTTTATGTAGAGTTGGAGACAATTTCTTCTTTGTTCTAGATTCTTTCGTTCGTTTGCATCGTACTCGATTTGGCGCTACTTTTGAACTGAAAAACGTTTTTTTTTTTTTTTTTTTTGCGAAAATGTGTGTACAAAATTAAATCATTTTAAAAATGTCCATAAGTATATTGCTATTGTCTACAAAATCGTCTCGCCCTTTCTGGCAAAGTTTTTTTTCTCGATACTTTTCATATACACACATGTTGTTCATAATGTATAAATGAATATTTCAAAGAAGGAAATAAAAAATTTATTTATTTCTTCTTGTCTTTGAACTTTTTCAATTTAGATAGGTGTTCGTTTATTTGTACTTTTTTCGGCTATTAAATGTTCCTATTCCGTGTGAAAATGTTTGCGGGCATGAAACCAAAACGTGATATTTAGTCATTTTTTTTTACAAATTGTTGAATTGCATGCTACGAACAAAGTTTGTTCGATTCGTGGTCTTCTCTTTGGCTTCTCAAAAATCAATCGGTTCTTATTTCAGATGTTGAATGTCTGATGCAAAAAAATAAAATCCTTGTAATTGAAAGTCAAATATACGTATAATTAGCGCCGTACGTAGTGTTCCCAATCAGTTGAAATTACGAACACACCGCAAGCCACATTTTTTAAAAGGTCATCATCTTGAGAAGATTAAGAAGGGTCAAGCTCGCGAATAAAACTTGCAAACAGTCAAACTGTTTCCATGACTAATTTATTTTTCGTTCATTACAATTATCGCTTATTTGGTATTAACGCTCAAGTTGTTGTCTGCGTTTCAATATGAATGTGTTTATGACGAATCGATTCTTGGACAGATAAATGCTTGCAATTTTCTTTTGCCAAATCGATGTTAGTTTCGTATTGGTTATAATACGCTATGAAAATTCTATTTGCCGTTCATCCATTGGTGTTAATTTGATTGCCTAATATCATTTAATGATGTGGCAAATTCAGAACGAAATCTTTCGGAAGTGTGAGACCTCGCTATTAGCCAGTCCTAAGAGTTCAGTTCGATTGCCATTTTTCTCTCTTTCTCTCACCTCATCTGCTGATGAATAAAATGCGGCCGCTGTATCAAAATATTTACCGCGCTCAATAAATCTATGTACGGCAACAGAAATAACAACAAATGTATTTGCCAACCAAGATCACATGCAAATACCGAAACAAAAAATGGAATGAATACCGAGCGGGCATCAACGGGCGGCGTCTACATAAAATTACATTTTTAAATTGTGGTTTCGGATTGTATCTTGTTTATTTCAATTGTTTACATTCTGAAGCTATGCTTTAAGAAAAAGCCATGCAAAGAAGCACAAAAAGAAGAAGAAGAAAAAAAGCGCACATACACACGGTTGGTTATTTGTTGAAAGTGGTAAAAATGCCCGCCGGATAGCGATATACTATTTCATCTGAAAAAAAAATAAGCGGAAAAATTGGCTGGAATATTATAAACTTTCACATAATTGTGATGTGCAGTCAATGAAGTTTGCAAAATGGCCTATACGTCATGTAGCAAAAATTGTTTTTTTCTCCCTCTCTCTCTCTCTCCCTCTCTCTCTCTTCATTCCATTTTCATTCTCTCTCCCACTTCAACTCTAGGATAGAATTTGTATTACAAAGAAGAAGAAGAAGAAGCGAAGACCTCTCTCGCTTAACTTGCGCGCTGTTGTATGTGTTTCAATCGCGTGAACTCTTTTGTCTCTTTCACTATTTATGTGATAAGCGTATTCACAATTCATAGAATTTTGCATAGAGTCAGATAACAGCAATGGATTACGCTCATTTCGTTTCGAATTTCGCTTTGAAAGAATACTATTTATCAATAAAATTGTATTGGACGTTGTTCACGGAACAACAACTACAACAGCAACGACAAAGACTAGCGATTACATTTGAAACCCACATGTCTTCCTTTCGAAAAAAAAAAATATCAACTTCGTTTGTATGCTGCATATTAGTTCTTATTGTGGCATAGTGATTTTGTGCCTTATATAAAAAGGAATAGAGCGAAATAAAATTATTTTTAGAGCGGAAGAGATAAACGATTTTACAACTTTCATCTAATTTATAGTAAAGCAGGATTTTTGCTCGCAACGAGAGAGCACTCGCACATACACTCACTTTTCTTTCTTTCTTTTCAAACTGAATTCAGTTTCATTGTTGCACATTGATTGTCTTAATGGCAATTGTCTATGTGGCCATTGAGTAATATTTCATATAATTGAAGTGAACGAAACAACAAATTGAACAGTTGACAAATGAAATTTGTGTAAATGTCATAGATAAAATGTCGATTGATGTTGAACATGAATGGCGGCCTTTGTTTCATGGAGCGAGAAAAGAAATACTATTGCGGTCTATATTACCTTGGTACTTGGTTATTTTTCATTTTCGCCACTGAAACATTCAATTGGGACGGAAAAGGCGGCTATTGTCCAAACACATAAAAAATACAATGAAATGCAAATGCAAATGTAAAAAACACGGATGTGGAACCATAATCTCGACAAACAGACATTTGTGATCATTCTGTGTGTAACTTTGACATCATTCAAAAATCATCTTTTTATTTGTATCCCGATAATTCGGAGGTCATTTTGAGGATACTTTTTCTCCTGGAATAAGTGCAACACAAAGTCAAGCTCCACACAAAAACTCTTAATTCTCTCGCAACAAGTATAGCATTCGACTGTAGGTGTTTGCTTACTTAAAGCTGCTAATCAATTGAATCGTGTTGCTCGCACATACTTTTAGCTCGTAATCAACGTTGAAGCGCCAGAATAATAAACACGCAGATAGTTTATGGCGGGAATTCCGAAAAGATAAATGAAGAAAAAAACACACATTACTAGAATGTATCCGTTCGGCTATGATACAAACGATTAGAAAACGGAAAGACCTACATTGCGGTTAGTGTGTGTATTTAATTTTTTATTTTTTATTTTGTATGAACCCATCAAAGTGTCGGCTTAATTTCGTAAGCAATGGTATACATCAAGTGTCAACACTTGATCGACAGTAAAACACATAGCACGCACGATATGCTGCTCATTTTTTAAATGATACGTATGCTTTTATGAACGTTCCATTGAAATGGAAATTGCAGCAATAGCTTTCATCCTCACTTCAGGCCAACAACTTATGAATGGAAAGAAAAAAAAACCTGATGATAATATGATGAAGATGTGTATTGTCGAAATGATTTCACGGTTTTTACGTGCGGTTTGTTTTAAAGTTGAAGCGGAACGAGGAACCTGCCAGCGTAAAGAGAAATAAAAATAAAAATGAATGTTACACCGTAAAGACAATGAAATGTTTGCAAACATGTGTTTTAAGATCGCTGAGCATCTCAGCATTTCGTAAGGCACGGATATATCCGAGCATATCGACGACGCATACTGTATAATACAGTGGCGTGTGTTGCTACGTGCAGCCGCAACGACTCGACCGAAGTGTGTTCAGTTGATGTGGCTGCACGCAGCAACAACATACACATTCCGGTCGAGTCGTTGCGGCTGCGCGTAGCAACGCACGCCACTGTATGCGTCGTCGATATGCTCGGATATATCCGTGCCTTACGAAATGCTGAGATGCTCAGCAATCTTAAAACACATGTTTGAATGTTTGCAATGGTACATTTTAGCATGAATAAATTAGCATTTGTATCGCATTTTTGGCTAGTATTGCCAAGTATCTCCGCGTGCATGTGCACAAATACAATTTATTCACTGGCTTATATGCTGATCGAGCGCATGTGATATGATGGAGCGAGCTTAAGCCTATGCGCAAGCGCTCACCCATCGATTCATCTATGCCAAGAGTATTTTTTGTTTCAAGTGCGAATGATTGTTCCAAGCTGAATGCAAAGCAGAATGAAAAGATGAAGAAGAAGAAGAAGAAGAAGAAGAAGAAGAAGAAGAAGAAAACAGCACAAGCAAACACACTTCATGGATGTAGAGCACAACATGAAAGAAGCATAAAGAAGAAAAGAAAAACGACAATCAAATCAATGAATTCCACATGGTGGCCATTTCAATTCATACCAATTGAATAGCTAGCATTATTTCTACTACCATCGAGTATGCAAGACGAGTCATTTGTACGTTTTGAGGTGTGATATTGTTCAGCACCGGCGAAAACCATTGCTCGACGAGATTTCGATCACACGATTGCCGATTGTTCCGTTGTCCTCCTTTGAATTTAATTTGTTCAAACGCCACTGACTGAAACAATCTCTCTCTCTCTCTCTCTCTCTCTCGATTTACCTCTCTCATCGGTGGCTGCCGCACATATACATCACAGACAGTGGTATATACACAAGGTATTGTACGAGGTAGGTCGGCATAAGTCTGCAATTATCGTAGCCATGATGGTGTCTAGTAGATTCTGTTTACGAATGTGCAACGAAAAAGTCAAACCAATTATTGCCATCATTGTCGGTACATATGTGCACGCACTCTCCATTCGAAACCGCAGCCACCAACTGAGTCCGTCGAAAGGTCGAAACTGTTACTGTTTTTCTCTTAAAATTTCATACCATTCTATGTAAATCTGTCTAATTGGCGGAAAAGTAAGTAAGTTGTGGCAATTATCCAATCAACAGCGTGAATGTTCTGTCAAAACGAAATTCAGCAACTTTTCTTATCGCCATTCGGTTTGAATGGGACAAACGGGTGTATGTGGACACTTAAAACAGTACCCGTTATTACCTCCAAAGCTTCAGCCTACTGTGAATAAAAATTGAAGAAACGAACTCATACATTGACAGAGAAACGCGCGAATAGCTAAACTGTACCGATCAACCGACCGAACGACGGACGAACGGCTGAAAAAAAAACGCCGTACTGAGAGAAAGATAGAAGAAGTGGCAGAGTGGTAGCAGAGAGTCGTGCTCACACCAACACATGCACACACACATGCATACGCTACAACACAAATCCAAGTTGAAAATCATAAACAAATACCGTATTTTTTTTTCAGTCGGAATTGTGCTAGCCGTTCAATAGCAACCCAATATTAAAATCTCTCGTGTGTGATGTATTCCGTGCATTGTACTTCGAATGCTCAACAGGAAAAGAAACACGGACGAAACTCCATCCAATCAACGAATACACCACGAGTTAACACACAGGCAATACACAGTTGAACGTGAAAAAATAATTTCAATTCCAGTGTGTACGGTGGCGTAGTTGAATCGTAGCATTTAATTCATATTACAACAAAAAAATAAAACAGAAGAAAAAGAAACATATAAAAAAAATCGCTCAACAGCCAAACATTTATGCGCTAACTGTTTTTTTTCTTTCAAAATTAGTTTTAATTTGTGCAGCAAATTGTTTTCTAGCCGCTCTTCCGTTGCGTTTTATTTGTTTAATTTTATTTTTACTTGAGTCAATTTTGGTTTTCGTGTTGTATTTTTGCATTTTCTTTGCTGGTAATTTTCTATTTTGCCACAAAATTCGGTCGACAGTGCATACGTACACGATACATTTTGAAGACGGTGATCGTGTTTTTGTTTCTTGTCAATGTGCCCCGGTTGTTTTGTATAAACCGAAATCCGAAGACGAGAAGGGAACAACAAAAACAACACAATTCGTCGAATATTGTGGAGCGAAACAAAAGAAAGAAAGAAAAAAAAGTACATTTCAGGTGAGGTGAGCTTTACAGAGAATTGTAAATATAAAATAAAGTCACAAGTTCAAACAAAAGAAAAACAAATATATATATATATATATATAAAATAGAAAATATAAAACAGTTGAGGAAAAACTATAAAACATATGAACAAAAGTGTCGGTAATTTCGCACGTGAATTGAACAACACCTAAAGCAGATAAATAAACTGGATAGCGACCGAATAAAAAAAAATATGAAAAAAACGAAATTGACGAAAGAGACACGAAAAAATAATATTCATAAAAAAATCCAGAGAGAATGACATAGAGATATCAACACTTTGTTATACTGGTAATGAAAAATTTCGACCAAACTCGCTTTGTTTTGCTATTTTGTTGTTGTTGTTGTTGTTGCCGTCCCAAACACATGATCATGTATTTGCATGTATATGCATAAGCATGTGTGTATCGCATCTGATATGATTGAGATTTATAAGAGTTAAAAGTTTTCAAGAGATTTCAGTCAGTTGAATTTTGCGGTGAGTGTGCGTGCGCATATTTTTCGATGTTGTCGCCGTCGTCGTGATCGTCGTCGTATACATTTTTTTTGTATTTATCGCTTTCAATTGTGCACCTAGGTGAATTCGTTTTTTTTCTAGTTGTTCATTGCCATGAATATGCGAATTGGTGTATGTGTTAAACTATTGCTATTTTATATATATATTTTTGTTCGAACATAAAAGCGGCAAAGATATTGTTATTTTGATTTCAATAGTTAATTTTTTCTTCTTGGCATTTATTTAATTATTTTGGCTAACTTACAAAATCCAAATACTTTTTTTTTTGTAGCATTTGGATTGACGTCGCTGTTGATTTATTTCATCGTGCATGGAATTTTTTCACGTATGAGTGTTATAATTTCTTTCATTGTTTGAAAAATTACAACGAACAACATACACACAAGAAAAAAAAACGGCATAAGTGAATATTTCAAGCGTCGAAACGCCGATACAAAGCAGCGAAACTAAATTGACGGGGTAAAGTTGAAGCAGCATCGATAGACAAAAAAAAGAAACAAAAAGCACACTGAAAGTGAAATTAGTTAAACAAAAGGCAAAACGAAACGAAACAAGAAAAAAATAACTACACGGTAGATAAATATAAGCGGCTTCAACACTCTGAATTCGGTGGTTTTTATTTGTTTCGGTACGCGCGTGTTTGTGTGAGAAAACCGAAAAGAAAAGTGAAGACAACAAGAAAGAGTTTAACAAAATCGCATGTAATTTTTCTCTCGGCAGCAATCGATGCCCATGATTTGCGCATACATATTTTGTACGTTAATTGTATGTGATTGAATACATACATAAAATCGTTTACAAGTTTGAAAGTAGAAGCGGTTTTGTGCATACAACATATAAATTGGAAAATACGCATACACACTGATTGACTGACTGACTGACTTACTCATCGACTGAGAGAACAAGAAAGAGAAATAATCGGATATAAAAGCGCAGTCTTTTCTCTCTCTCTCTCTATCTCTTTCTCTCCCTCCATCCGATCAAATTGTGCGTGCAATAAGCCATATTGAAGTGATCTAGAGAATATTAACGATACCGAAAAGCTTAACGACAATACACACACGTCACGCAAACACAAAAATGGTGAACCAATTGCTTTGTTTTAAGGCCGGTGGCCTAGTGTTGGGCATCATTGGAACAGCTCTATCAATGCTCAATTTAGTTTGGGCAATCGCTGCGTATGAAGAGCTTCCATTTATTAATGATCACATTATATTGGGCAAATTGATTGGCTATGCTCCTGACCACTTCATCAGACTGGCTTACGTCATAATTTCAATATTCGAGCTGGTCGCTGCTGCACTATTGATTGCCGGCATTTTACTGGTAAATATAGCAAATAATTGCCCAATAAATATTGGTAAATAGTTTGTAACAAATAGCAGAAATGAGCGTAGCAAGCGCCGATAAAAACAATTTCACGTAAGCCCAAAAACAGAACGCATGCGCGCGCGCGCGAACCGAAAAGAAAAGAAGTAGTGCGAAACAGAAAAAAAACAAAAGTCCAATTTTAACAGCACATAGTGGTATTTAGTTGAATGTATAAAATATGAATTTTGAACAGCACGCTGACGAATGGAAACAAAAGCAGTAACAAAAAAACTCGCAACAGCGACGATGACGACGATGAAAACGGTAGCAACGGCATCGAGCACAAAATTTTTTATTTAATAAAATTGAAACCGTACACGGTTCACATGATTTTTGCGTAGCAGCATTTTGTTAAATGTAACAAATGTGTACACCCTTACTTTTAGATTGACGGTAGTTGCCATGCTCGGTGCGCTTCTTTGCCGCTGCTGCTGTTGCTTTTTCGTACTCGCTGTTAAAAGCAACCATTTTGCACTCGTCGCTTATCATTACATGCGCTGCTGCCAATGTGTTTTTTTTTCGTTTTTGTTTCATTCATTTTATTCAATCTCGCATACATTTTTGTTTGGCTGCTTGTCAATTATTACGTTATGATGCAGCAATTTTACTTTCTTTTTTTCATTCAGTTGCTCATTTTTTTCGCTTTTCATTTATATCGAATTCTGCATACGTGCGCCCCTCGCAGCTCATACATTGTCTAGCTGATATGCTCGTTTTATACATATATTTTCTTAAGCATATAATCCAATTCAAGTATCTACAATTCACACAAATCGCTCTTGCATTTCTCGGTCTTAGATTTGCAATGTGAGTCGCTGTATTTTCTTCTTCAATGAATGTGCGCGCTCTGCTTTTTTTCTTTCTGTCGCTATTTTTTCTCTGTATTTTTTTTCTGGAACGCTCATTTCCATGTGTGTACACATCTTTTGCTGCGACTATTATTATTATGAAAATAGAAAACGAGGTAAATAGTAATCATACGATTTGTTTTTTTCTTTCTTTCTTTCTCTTAATTTCTTCAATGTTGCTGCTATCGGTGATGCTGCTGCTGCTGTTGTTGCGGTCACCGTTTCTGCCACCGTTCCACGTTGACTCAACGAAACCAATAGAAAAAGAAATACTGTTTGCTGCCCTGGATTGTTAGCTACATGGTGGATATAATAGTAATATCATTGGAAGCCTGGAATTATCTCATACTGTCCATTGTTTGTATGACTATCTTCGGTGAGTATTGTACATGATTGACCAGTCACTTCTTCCTGTGCATTGCGCAAACAATGCAAACATACCGAATTTGCTTTTCATGTTATGCAGACTTTATGTGTATGCCTATCTCTCTGTGTGTGTCTGTCTGTCTTTGTCTGTCTTTTTGTGTTGTTTTCATTTTCTGTTCCAATGACTACAAAACTGATGACACAATTGGGCTGATAGTGAACGAAGTTCAATCAAAAATAATTGTCTTTATCGGTTCTAAGTAAGGCCGTACTTTTCCCTCAGTCCATCTAAAAAATGTTGATTACATTTTCATTTGTTCCATGCAATCAATTAAACATTATTCATCCTTGTCAGTGGATGACCTGCATCAATTCTAATCGAAGAATAAAAAAGCAAAAAAACCGTTTTGTTGTTTACAAAAGCAATCGTACATTGATTGCATAAAGACTCGGTCTGAAGTGAGAAGTGAGTTTTTCATCCACGTTCAAGCCTTATAATTCGCTAGAACAATGTCGCACAGAAGTTAAGCATATCTATCGACTTCAACGGTTTATATTTGTTCGCCTTGCAGAGCATCGGTGGACCGGCACTTGTGTGTCGCGCGACAGTGGAGTGAAAGTTTCAATCGAAATTAGTACGGAAGCAACACTACGGTGGTCGTACATTATGCCTAACCGGCATAAAGACAAAAAATTTGAACGCGATGCGAGACACACACACACGCGGCGAGTAAACGACAAACAAACAAAATAAACATCGATAAACTATAACTGTATGATCGTAAATAAGCAAAGCAGATGCATAACAGCGAAGAAAAGTCAAAAGACATAAAAAGCAATTGGACCTGAAAAAAAATGCGTTCGAATACCAATAAAAACAGAAAAAAATCAAACGTTGAAATCTATTTACTGATTTAATAATTTGGTATATTGAGTGAATAGTAAGTTGAGTCATCAAACTTGGTGTTGGTCTGACAGATAATAAGCGGTTTGACCTCTGTTGCCCATAAAAAAAACTGGTCCGAACAACAAAGCATCAATCATGTTTCAGTTGGCTTATTATTTTGCTCGGTGGTGCGTTCTTGCTTTTTCTTGTCACATCTTCAATTGAAGTCACTTGTTTGGACACGATTTCAAACGCTTTTCAATGGACAACATCATTAAAAATTGCTACATCTTATCACACATACAAAAATTTCAATCCTGACTCATGTCATCACCAGCTCAAGGTTCGTTGGGATTATTTTTATTACCCCAGTGAAACGTGGCCGAACGAAATTGTGTTTGTTGTTGTTGTTTTAACGATTGAGCCACGAAAAAAAAAATACAACAACGAAAGCGCAGACCAAATTACACACATTATTTGCTTAAAACATCTGCAATTTCATTATCCACACACAATCGAAACGATTGTATGCTAAAAATACCCATTTATTGCATATTTAAAATAAACATCTTCACGACTGTAATTTTCGGTTATCGACAAGATTTTGTCAACGTAGTATAATAATATGCATACGTCGAATCGCACACACGATGATTAATGAAGACAAAAATATCTTTCTTTTTAGGTGGAGTTATTTACATCTGGTATGCTATAGTCTTATTGTACAAGGAATTCCAAGCGGAAGAAGAGGCCAACACGGGAGTGCAAATGGCATATGTGGACGAAGCACCATCACAACTTCCGCCGTACAGCGTGCTGACGATCGACAAGTGATCAACGATCACACACATGCTAGCCAGAAACAATACAGCAACAACAACAACAATCAAGAAGAATCGATTTAAAGCAAATCAGATTGATACACATTTCTCCACAGAAAAGTTTTTTGCATCTTCCTTAATTAAAGCAATGAAGTTTTTTTTTCTAGAAAATTATTATTTAATTAGATGAGAAAGAGTTGCGAGTAAAATCTAAAAATTTATCTGGACATTTTCCTCGGTTGAATTCATTGTATATGCGTGTGCGAGTGTTTGTATCAGCAAGTGATCGTATTTAATTAATTTTTCAAAATCGCACCCTTGATGCGCAAGCAAATCGAAAAAATCTCAATGACGTTGAACTTATGTGTGTACTTGTCTTTCGTCTAAATATTTCAGACTTGAAGAATTTATTGAAACAACACATTTCTCCTATTCTGTTTTAGCTAATAATTTAATTGAATGTCCGAGAATGAAAACGCAACTTCTATTCACAACACATATAAGTGAAACAAAAATAAAAAAATTTATTGAAATGAAACAACACAATCGAATTTTTTCAAAGTGTAACAACAAAAAAGATTTTTTTAAAGTGTAACATCGGTATGTAGTAAGTGTAACAACATACCGATGTTACACTTTAAAAAAATCTTTTTTGTTGTTACACTTTGAAAAAATTCGATTGTGTTGTTTCATTTCAATAAATTTTTTGTTTTTGTTTCACTTATATGTGTTGTGAATAGAAGTTGCGTTTTCATTCTCGGACATTCAATTGTACATTTAAACCTACACACACACACACACGCTCACATGTATACATAAACACCCGATGAAACAATGTGTAGGTTAAATGAAAATTGATTTTCAATCGCAAAAGACAAAATAAGCTGACAAATGAATATTTGTCGTTGTGCTGAAAATAACCAAATATTTAGTTAAGAATTCTTAGATGCGTAGATTAAAATTTGAGAATAAAAGAAAAATATCGGAAAAACGAGAGCAAAGTTTGCATTTTAATTGTCGTATGCGATACGTCTCCGGTTTTGATTGGCGAGAAATAATTATTTTATTTTGTCTCCACATTAAAATGTGCGTATAAGGCGATCGTTTTCAATATTCAATGAAACGGTTTTATCGATAGATTGAATATGTCAACGTGACGTATGGAGTGTATTTTGACCCCAAAATACATGTCATCAAACCGCTTGTGATTCCATTCAGTTTATCGATCACTGATAGTTTTCCGCTGTTTTATCGCTGGGTGATGTTTTTTTTTTCAATGGAATTTTCCATTATTTTTGTTTACTTAGGAAACATCAATTGGGGATTTTAGATTCATCATGGATTGACTCAAGAAGATGTCAAATAATTTTTTGTTCGTTCAAAAAGCCAAACGTTATAATTGTTTTATTTTGTTTTTCATTCTTTTTTTATTGTAGCTGCTTTTTTTTTCAACAAGTCAGTTTCTTTTCAATACATCAGAAAACTGAACAGATGCCAATCTACTATTACGGTCCCTAAATAAATGTCAAAATATGCAAATCATAGAAAAAATATATTGTTTGCTTCGATTTTTATGTTTCTTTGAGTTTTATGAATTCAGGAAAAAAAAATGGTTAAGTGAATTCTGTTCACATATTAACTGCAATCGGTCACTTCAGTCGGATGGTGTTTTAGGCACGCGTATAGATTGGATAGACGGTGCCATTGTTTTGATTATTAATCAAACTGGAATATTCACTGTTTGGTGCGATTCGTCGAATGTCTTCGTACAAACCATAAATTGCCAGGTATGCGTACACATAAATTGCTGGAAGAGAAAAGATAAACCAATTACAATAACAACAACAACAGTTGGATGGGTTGATTGTGTCCATTATAATGCAAATATAAATATGGCTTACCGAATATGATACCGCCGGCCACTGCAAATGGAATAATTGCCGTATAATTGGTTGCATTTGTTTCCCAGAGATGGTAGAATGTAAATCCAATTGCAATGGCATTGAACAACAACGATATGAAGCTATTGATAAGCCATGGGATTATGAGCAAACGGTTGCGCTGCGAAAAGAAAACAAAGCGAAACAATTAGAATCACAATATTTTCACAAACAATGACGCATTCGGACGATGGCGCGCTGTGTTTGGTAAATAATTCGCCGAAATGTATTAAAATCATTTTATTTTGTCTCCACTTGTTTGGTATGTATAGCAAAAACACTCAATTCATAACAATAAACAAATCGAAACCTTTCATTATGGCAATGATCGTTTTCAATTGGTTTTCAATTCCCAAAAAGTAGAACCTTGCCATTTGAATTGAAATCTTGAGCAATTGTTATTTGATATTTGAAATTTGAGCAAGAGTTTTATCTGATAAAGCTTATCAAAAAAAAACACTTCAAAGCAAGGGAAAAAATTGAAGTGAAGCAAAGATGTGAAGAAACAGTATCACAGCTCTTGCATAGTGACGCAAATTCGTTTAATTAGTGAAATACCTTAACTGTTCCAGCGATGAGTAAGCCCGAAGCCAATAAGTCAATTACATTGAATGCAATGTATGTGCCAAGGATCGTTACAACAGCTAAAAATGCAGTCCAAAGAAAAAGAAAAAAGTCAATAATTTTTTTTGTCGTTTATCACAAACCGAAAAAAAAAACAGACAAACATTTTCGAATTCTCAGTACTTACATTTGCGTAATGCTACAATGTCAACGTCGGGAAAATCCTTGGTTGTGATAATGGTGTCAACGTTTTCTAGCATCAAAATGCTAAAGATGCATGATGTTATCGATTCGGCGAGACCTAATCAAATGCGAATGAATGATCGTGAACTTTTATATAAAATAATTGTAAATGAAACAATAAAACACCAAAGAAGCTTCGGCTAATAAAAAATATCATAGCATATCATACCTAACCAACCGATCAACAATCCGGTGGTGTACAGGTCAAAACAAAAGAATTTCCGTACCATAATGGCGATGATTTAAACTTCGTGCGATCGCGTCAAATTCACTTGATCCTCTGATTGTTTCCACACAAAAAAAAATTGGTGTTGTTGCCTCTTTATGAGTCACGTAAAAGTACTGCGCAATTCAATAACAATATAGAGAGACGAGGAGGAGCGGGAAAAGAAGAAGACATGCATTCAAATATAACATCAATTGCGTGATGAACTCAACAATGACACTTAATTTACAAATAAATCCAACCCAATTGAATCGGACTTTTTGACAGATATGAACGGATGATGAAAATATATTGATGCGAACTCTGATTTGCTTCTTTTTGTATACAATTTCACATCAACGATATTCGATATGTTATTATTACTGTTTGGTTTTTTTGTTCTTCTATGGTACTGATGATACCTTACTTCACATTTCACCGCTCTTTCGTGCAATATGTAACAATTCCATTTGAAGCGTTCAACGAAATGAACGAAATGACAAACAAACGAATGAACGGAAAAAAGCCAATGTTAACAAACACTAGACACATTATCTTTATGAAACCCTATTGCAATTGATTGTTGTATATGTTCAATAAAATAGATAAACGAAAAGAGAACAATATACATACCCGTCGGTTGAATGATATGGCATAAAAATGCACCAATCTATTGGGATTTTGATACAAATCGGTATAAATAATCAAGTTTTTTTTTCTTCGTCTACTTTGGATTTTATCGTGTATCAGTAATTTTTAGAATTTTTAACTATTTCCTTTGTTTATGCCTATATGTGCGCATCAATATTTGCAAACAAGATTTTGCATTTGACGGTCCGATCAAAAGTGAGGTTATATGTTGGTTTTGTTTACTTTTTTTCACGTCGCATCTCTGTTACCAACTTTAGGCTCTACACAATAATCTCTACACACTCTTACGGCTATGAAATATTTGAATTGAATTTGATGTTCGGCTGGTAAATTTTGATTGAAAATGCATAATTTTTTCGGCGAACCTTGCACGTTGTATTTTTATTTCAATTGTGGAATTTCAACATTTATAGAAAAAAAAAATGTGTCAAATTGTCGTGGCGAATTGTTGAGCCGAATTGCTAAATCCTGAAATTGACAACCTTAGATAACATGTACAATTTGATTTTCACCCAAAGATGAAAGCAATTGAAAGTTTGAGAAGACGATATGAATAAAGAAATAAACTTTTCGAGTTTGTTTTTAATCGAAATTTCATGTTTGACAATTAAATTTGGTTTAATCACAATTAAATGTATATATTTCAATCAAACAGGCATTTGAACAGCAGCTTGATTGTCTACCGTTTCGAATTTGATATCTACCATCCTTCTGTAGATAGAATACTTCAGAATGCAAATGTATGCCAAAATCGCTGAAAAATGTTTTTTATATGATTGAAATAACGTAAAAAACATATGCTGCACCAACGACCAACCTGAAGCAATATAAATGGCAATGGCGAATATGATGGAATTCGCAACTATCGGCGTACCGTGGGTGAGTGCAATAAGTAACATGACTATCGGAAGCGTTATCAAAATAGATAGCTCGAGCACGTTCATAAAGAGGATTGGGAGTAGATAATGTGGTTGCACCTGTTCTAGCAAACATTCGTAGTGTGCAAATGATTAAATTGCTGTTTGATTGTATTGATCCCTACCTTAAGAATTCCATACAGCCAGGAAATATACAAAATCAGTGAAATAGCTACGGGATACAATATCATGGATTACAATTTGACTTTGTTTGAATCAAATGTATTGTGAATACTTACCACCAACGACGATTTTGGGATCCGATCGCACCGCAGCAACAGCGATAGTAAAAATAGCGGCGACTACTCCAAGACAACCAGTGATTAGGCCGCCAATTCTCAAATCGATACAGCAACAGCAATACGGAAGTCTTGGAATCTTCATTTTTACTCGTGAAAGCTAATGTAAATATTTTACCACAACTTCGTTCTTAAAGTGCCACAAGTTAAAGGGAAAAGGCACCGTTCAAAGTTCTGATGTCATCAGATTTCACGTTGTTAATGCACTGCAGTTGTAGCGCAATTATCATACATAAGAAATTATTAGGAAAAATCTAAATTTTCGAACTTGATTTATATTATCGAAGATAAGAAAACGATCGATATTACACCTAATTGCACACGTGCTAATTTATAGATTGTCTACAAAGCTTGCAATATTGATCATACGTATAATAAAAAAAAGCAATTTCACGTCCTCAGAACAAAATTGATAAATTTCAAATTTACTTGTCTATTGGGAAATGGTATCACACTTTCATGCTTGGCAGAGCCATGAACACATGTCCAATGGGAATTTTTCTAGGGGAAAGATCAAATCAAAATACCTCGCAAATGCTTACAAATATGCGACGTATTTGAAAATATGGCAAATATATTCACGATTTATACAAAAATGAGTAAATATTGTGCGTATATATTAAACCATAAAAATCAAGGGCAAATATACATATTTGCAGCTGGATCTTTCCCCCTAGGAATTTTTTTTTTAAATCTAGTGATTTCCATTGATCAAAACAAGTAGTATTGCGCTTCAAAGACTCTTTAGGAATTTCATGATAAAATAAAAGGTAGAGTATTAAATTTTGATAATCTGGAATGATTCATGTGATATGAGTGGCTGATATATGAATCATATCCATTATTGTTTATTATTCACCTTTTAAGCTAAGTATACAGTTCCTTGTGAAATGAAAAAATTTCTCCGGTGAAATTTTCACAGGTGATATTTTTATGGTGTTTTTTATTTTCGAATTGCAAGCATAATGATTTTTGATGTATGAAACAGCTAACTCATTTCAATATCAACACGGCACATGAACAAATTTGGTTTTTGAGTTCATTCTTCTATGTGTTTTGTCTAAACAAATTTTTTTTCACGGTCGTGAAAAGTATTTCGCGTGCAAAATGTACGCGAATTTTTTTTCACGGCGGTGACAAAATAAGAAAGATCAAAATACATTAAGAAATGAATTCAAAATTCAAATTTGTTCATGTATTGTGTTGATATTGGAGGGAGTTAACTGTTTCATACATCAAAAATCATTATGCTTGCAACTCGAAAATAAAAAACACCATACAAATATCACCTGTAAAAATTTCACCGGAGAAATTTTTTCATTTCACGAGGAACTGTGTACTTAGCTTTAGAAAGAACTATCGCAAGTGTTTTTGGTTGATCAAAACTCTTTTCAATGACCATTTATTGACTGTTTTGATTATCGAATGTAGTAAGACAATGTTTGCCATTTCTCAAAATTTGTGCTTTTGGCTTTCCAAGCTATGGCGCCGTCCAATAAATGTATTTTATCAAAAACCAGAACTTTTATCGACAATCCATAGTCGAGTCTTGTTAATGAAACTAAACGTTACACTTATCACTTCCTGGTACATGAAAAAATTGTTTTTTTTTCTTAATATTTCAATGAAATCTGCGAGAATGATTCAATATTTTTTAATCGCATATTTTCTATTTGGACACCAAAATCGGTTTCTATTGTGAAATTGGAATCAAAAATTGTTCAGCGATTTTTCATACAGATTTTCAAGAAGAAATAAGCTAAAAGATCATAAATTGTTTGTTTTTGTACCAAATGAATGGTCTATATTTTATGAACACTTTTCAAATAAATCATAATCTGAACAATTTGGTTTAGTTTAAAATTATAAGTCGACTGAATATGTGGCCTAAACAACATTCCTGCTGGTGCCCTTGTATTCTTTGTACAAGGCATAAAGAACGCAACAGAAGTAGAAAGAAAGAGCTGAAAAATAATGAGAAAATAGGAAAAATAATTCAATTCAATTCAGAAATTGTGTGGTTTGCGTCATTTTGTTATTTACCCTCAATTAATGAAGATAAAATACAGAAAGGAACTATGATAGCGTCAAGATTTTTGAAAACTTGTTCTTCTTCGGGGCTTAGCTTATGATCCGCTGCAAGTTTTTTAAGTGCTAAATAGGCCATGATCAAAATAATTTCACCAATGATCGCGAGAATCGGACCAATTATTATTGACCAAATCAAGGCGGGTAGCATGAGGTCAGCTTTTTCCTGTTGAAGTCGTGAGATTTTTACTTTTCATTATAAATTAGCAATAAGCAGAAAAAATCCAGCTTACCTTAACAATAGCATATATGCATAAGCAGTAAGCGACACAACCGACACCTGCGAAGAAAAGATTGAATGTGCATTAGGTCATCATAAACTTATTCGGTTTGTGTGTTGCAAATATGATGCACAACCATCGCCGGAATTCCAGATAAAATTCCGAAAATTTTCTTTGGTATGACTGCGAACCATCAATCGGATTTTGGAATATGGAGAACAAACGTTCAATGACAATCCTGATCGTTCTTGCTCTAGAATTTCAGCACAAAAAGTTATGATCCGATTTACTCACCCTGAAGAATTGTATTCCAATCTTCTGTTGCACAACCTTTAATGAACGCAAACAATCCACCGATAGCTCCGAGCACCGCTAATATCAAACCACCAGTTCTTAAACTGATGCAGCAACAACAACTGGTTAAAGCCATTTTTACTTCACAATATTCGAGCCTTACAATTGATATAAAAATATGTAGAAGATCCCGAAATTGAATATTTCAATTGAATTATTTGAATGCTTTCAATCCACGTATTAAAAAACCCAAAATAGCTGCTTAAAATGCTTAAATTCACATAGTTTATTCCAAAGTATTCTGTTTTATGAATGGATTTACAACATTAAAACTGATTTAACGTCCAAAGCAACAATAGCAAAATTCTTGATGCGAACCTATCACTTTATCGACCATAAAAACAATGATTAACCAATCAGCTATCGGCGTAAAACCAAATGAAGTCAAAAATATTCGTCCAAAATTTGCTATATAGCCTCTTATCGTTTACTCAGATTCTTATCGCACATGAAAGTGCCGTTCCCAGAAATTGTTATGAAATTGAATCTGAATTGATAACATACAACCTGAATTACCTCGTTCATTGCTAACAATGAGTGGTTTCTTTGATAGAAGCTCACCATTACATATGGGCGAGGGTCAGGTCGGTAACGTTACAATTCGCACGCCTATTTCGCCCATATCTCTGAAAATAATAATGAAAACCCAAAATTTCAAAAGTGCATATGATAGTGCTGCCCATACCACACATTTCAAAGAAAAGTTTTTATTTTTATCACCTATAGTATTGGACTTATGAGCGATTAAAGGCGTCGGTAACGTTACAAAATTTTGGAAGTGATTTGAGAGGTTGCTCAACGTTTTTATGAAAATTAGCGAATCTACCCAGGCATAAATCTGTTGTCACTCATTATATCGTAGATGAAGGATCAAAGAAAAGATAGAAATACAGGGTGTGCATGAAAAACTGTTTTGGTGGTCTCTGGACCCAATAGGCGTAGAATCGGTAACGTTACAAAAAAATCGGTAACGTTACACGTGCGATTTGAGTGCTCCAAAAACCAGAAAAGAAAATAAAAATCATATTTTCTCGAATTTATTATTAAAGTTTTGGCCCATTTCTACAAAAATATGGAAAGGTTCTTGTAGTTTTGTAAAAGCGTAGTAGAAATCTTGTGCTTTCAAAAAACGGTCGGTAACGTTACAAAAATCGGAAAAAAATCGAAAATTTGTAGATTTTCATATGAAAAAATTATCCGAATTGGATAAAATTTTCAGAGAATATAAGTTTTATGAAATAATTAAGCTATTCAAAAATTCATTGCGATCGAACGACGTTAATATACTTTTTTGCTCCTTAGAAACATTTTTTGCGTGGTTTCGTCTTACTGACCCTTGCCCATATGCATAGGTGAATATCCCAAGCTTTTGTGATAAACAATGCGCTAGAATATCGAACAAAAATATGGTTTCATGAGAAGAATTATTGTGTGAAATGAATGTAAAAAATAAATGCAGATCGATCATTACATTAGATACAGTTTTCAAGCAACTTCAATAGGAAATGTAATAGTGAGCAAATAGTCAATGTTCATGTTTAATGTAGCATATATTAAAGCTGGCGGTGAGTCAATCAGAATTGAATGTCATATCAAATTCACATTATATCTATACCCAAAAAGAAATTGACACCAGTTTGGCACTGCTTTGCTGCTCTCACACCGCACTAGACACAGCATGCTAGACACAGCATGCGAAAGCCGTGACTTGAATTATCGAGCGTCGACTGTATCATGATTTCTTTGGCTTTTCTTCAAATTTGTTAACAAACAATAATTAGGCTTGGTACATGGTAAAAAGGCGGAATTTCTGCTAGTAATTGGAGCCTGGAAACAAAATTTAATAGGAGAAACATAGACCGGACGCATCTACTACTCGAAATTCCTCTTAAATGTGAATGTGTAGCAGGTTGATTGCAACAGCAATCGGGCGAGCGATGGATTAATTTCCCAGCATTAATTCTAACACTTCACTGATAGAGCTGGTTTTAGTTGCGAGTGTGATAATTGTATCTGCTGCTCATCTGTACTGTGTCGATAGTATGTTAAATCAAGTGCCGGTCTGTGAACAAGGATAGCAGACATAGTTACTTTTGAGCGGTGTTGTCCAATGCACACTCTGTGCTGCGCTAATGTTTTATATTTAACATTTTCGTTATGTGTAGCACAGTAGTTGCTACACACAATTCACTAATACGTTAGAGTGAGGTTGAAATGTGCCTTATTCTTCAATGATCCGTTCAATTTTTTGGCGTAGCATTCGGCTGAAAATGCATTGTGCAACAATTGCGGAAAACCCACTGAGAATGCTGATTGGCCTAAAAATGGAGAAATCTCCGCTTTTAAAAATTGCAACAATTCGTGTCGAATATTGATTGATGGTTAGTTACGGGCTCAGTCAAAACGTCAAGATATTATTTGATGATAACAGGGAGAATTGCACAGCTGTTTCATAAATGTCAACAATGTTCGTCCAATGCATTTATTTTATCAAGCACCCTATGTCTTATCGACACTCGATAGTCGAGTCTTTCTAATAATTACGCATATACAATTCCACGGCTTATCACTTCCTGGTACAGAAACAATTTGTTTAATTCATTGTGCAACAAATGATTTTTCATATAAGTTTTTTTTTTAAGAAATAAGCAAAAGCTGATAAATTGTTTGACTTTGTATCAAACTAATGGCCTTTATTTATGGACATTTTCAAATAAATCATAATCTGAACAACTTAGTCCAGTTGAAATCATAAGTCGATTGAAAACGCGGCTTAAACGACGTTGCTGTTGGTGCCCTTGAATTCTTTGTACAAGGCATGAAGAACACACCAGAAATAGAAAGAAAAAGCTTAAAAATAATGAAAATAATAGAAAAAATGATTAAAATTCCATTCTAAATTGTGTGGGTTGTGTCAGTTTGTCATTTACCTGCCGCTATTGAATAAAAAATACAGAAAGGAATTACAACGGATAAATCTTGTTCTTCTTGGGAGCTTAGCTTATGATCGTCATTAAGTTTTTCAAGTGCTGAATAATTCATGATAAGAAGAATTTCGATTATGACCATGTGAATCGCATCAATTATTGACAAAACTAAGGCGGGGAGCATGAGATCAGCTTTCTCCTATTTAAGTCGTAGAATTTTCTCTTTTTTATTATGTATGTGCATTAGAGTGGTCCAAAAAAAAAGATGGTCGAAGAAAAAAAGTGCCGTCCAGTTTCGAAAAATATACCTCAAAAAATAGGTTTTGTCTAAAAAAACGATATGGGTACCATATAAAATTCCGTGCCAAGTCCCATATGCAAATTTTCATGACAGCGATTTCGGAAGTCATTTTAGATCGCAACATTTCGACCGATTCCATTATTCTAGCCAATTTTCGGCAGAAACTGTTGATGGGGTTTTGTTTGGCTCGTCAATATCTACAACTTTTACCAAGACATCAGCCCTTGAAAAGGCCTTCTGGGCCAGTTACAGTGTAAAATGACCAAAAAAAATGGCAAATTTTCGGCATTTTTTGCATTTTTTGCTCTACTGGTCACCCAGGCGGTGGACTTCTGTTCAGTTTTTGACTTTTGTCGTGTAGCCAGAACCTGTACCCCATTAAATACAATCCACGTATTTTTTTTTAAAACCTAAATAGCTGCTTAAAATGCTTAAATTTACAGAGTTTATTTCAAAATATTCTGTTCTATAAATGGATTTAGAGAAAATGTTTAAATTTTATTTCAAATTTGTCAATGTGTTAAAGCTGTTGAAAACCCAAAAAAAACTGACTTTTTTCGGTACGCACCTTTTGGATACGTGCGCTTAGTTTACTTACCGTCCAAAAGAACAATGGCAAAATTATTGATGCGGAACTATCATTATATTGACCATAAAAAAGAATTTATCGATGGTTGTAAATTGCACTTTTATCCATGGTTAATAAGCTTTCGGCGAAAGACTAATTGAATGGTTTGGAGCGGAAATGTAATACAGAAAATCTGAGCGGAAAAACGTCGATGATGAATGAGCGGAAAGGGGATAACTATATAGTCAACTGAATAGTAAACTATAGTGAACTATATAGCTATCCCCTTTCATTTGACATTTTTCCGCTCAACTTTTCTGTATTACATTTTCGCTCCAAACCATTCAATTGAAGTCACAACTAGTCAGAACTTAACCGCCACACATTTAATATATTCCTCGAAAATTTGTAATATGACTCATAGATTCTTATCGCTTACTCAGATTCTTTCAGTTTACCTTTCTGCCATGTATGCTTTAAAAAAGAATTATGACATGGCACGCCCTCAATCCAACGTCATATTTCTTCATCGTGGTGATTTTGAAGACGCTTGTTGCTTGATTTCACTTCTATTAATAAGAATGAATACTCTCCATTTTGGAGCATTTGCATGGGGAATTTTTTTCAGAGAAGGCTTTATCAAATCTTTATCATCTTTATTCTCATTAAATCATACAGGTGTCGACATCAAAGTGACAATTTAACCGTGTTTGTCAGTACACTTGACACTCCTATAAATTATTTTTTTTATTAGACACAATTCTCTGAAAGAAATGCAATCAGTAAATCAATCAAAATGAAACTGAATTTACCATGGTTAGTCAGTTGAACATAAAAAACTATTTCCCTATGTCATTATTCAATCATTGGTAAGGAAAAATAGTATTTAACAGCCTCATGAGTCAATTTTGTAAATACTTTTGGCTTATAATAGAAATGTATATTTGTTCATTTGTTGGCAAATGTCTCTGTATACACTATAGTGATTGTTGCAGCGACCTCCACAGAACTAGAAAGAAAGAAGTAAAGCATTTGGTAGATTTCTACAAGATTTACCGCCGCCACAATGCAGTGACTATTATTGAATCTATGGGAATGAAATGTTATATATCTTTTAATTATTTCTGGGGAAAAATTCAGTTATTTAGTGATTTTGCTGCAATTTATTCATTACGTATCTCTTAATTGTGCTCAAGCGTTCTTCATTCAGATCAATGTTAACACTCATTTAATGAGCGAGCCGCATGCGGATGAGATAAAGCAAAGCGTGAGAGAAGCGCGCAAGTCTGCACGAAGGAGCGATATAGCTGGCATTCACTTCGTCATTAGACTACAAACAATACAAACACAATGTCCCATGGTGTTTTTGTTTGTATTCTCATCCGCGACTCACTCACTAAATAGGTAAATATGTGGCTCTTGAATCTTCTCTCTCGCCAAACGTAAGTATTGACTTTGAATACAAATGGATCTACGGTAATTATGGAAAAAACAAATTGAAAAAGTGCTTGGAATGCGTAAATTACACATTGCGTATCTCATCATAGAGTTTTAGAAAGGTACAATATTGAATTTTTTTTTCAGATTTATGACAAATTTTAAGTGTTTGAGGTCATTTAGAGCCCGACTTACAGACAAACAATTAATATTGACATTCAGAATATTGTCGATGCTATAAACTAGCTATTAAACTTGTTAATACCAGCTTGCAATCTCCTTAGGTCTTATTGAGCGTCAATTCTCAAAAATGTCTTTACATCATTTGCGAACACTATAATTTCGACTAGGACGATATTGCTCCACTTACGCATACTATCCGTGTTCTATTCACCAACTACGTATGCAATAAATGAATGAGTTTGATTTCTAACGTCATTGTGGATAGTTTTGCAAGCAATATGGATTTCAAAGAACATAACAAAAATGCCGTTATCAAAACGACAGAGCCTTCGATTTACGCCTTATCGAATTCGAGGCGATTTAATTTGATGTTCTGTACACATCAAACGAAATGATAAATAATAATAAAAACATTTATCAATTTCGGGAATTATGTGATGAAATAAAAATCCCACTTCGCGTACATCGAGTGACAAACAATTTCAAGAATTTATTTCATTCGATTTTTCCCCAATTTTTATCCAATAATTAGATTTTAGTTTGAATTAGACTATATCAAGATATTCAATTTTGGTAAGGTTCTGGAACCCTTGAGTTTTTTTCATCCGCTTGTAGAGAATATAGCCAGTGATCCAAACAAAACATTCTATTGCTAAAAGTAAAGAGTGAAAAAACAAAATAAGTATGTTTCTTTGTCTAAATTCAGCGAATGGCGATAAGCACCTATAGAGATGGCAAACATTACGGTTATCCATGCAAACGATTCGGCATTGTAATTTAAGTAAACCATGTCCATGACTTGATAGATGGCTAACGAAATTAGTGAAACAATTTCGATGGTCACAGTCACCAAAGTCGGTAGAAGTAGTTTTGGTTTTTCCTATTTATATTAAACATATCAATGGGGTTTTAGCATATTTTTTATATTTTTTTATTCATTTTCAAATGAAATTTTCTCCCAATATAGGTTTGTAACCAATTCTCGATTTGTTGAATTGTCTTTTTTTCAAAGTGTAATAAAATACAAACCGTATAAAGTCCATGAATCCAGCAGATATCGAAAAATATAAACAAAACTGTGCAAACGATTGGAATGGAATTTATTACAAAGGTTAAAGTTTGATTGCAAGTATTTATTAGACTTGTAATAAACTCACGTGGTACCACGGCTTCTTCAATGAATATGATGGCGGGCATTGATATTGTGCGGAATACAATCATGTTCGAGAGTAATATAATTCGTGAAAAGCCAATTAACAATCCAATGGTTTTTGCATCGGTCCAACACCAAGATCGTTCAGGGCTCAACATTTTGACAGATACCTGAAAAGAAATTGGGTCACCGATGAATTTTTTTCCATTGTTTAAATGCATCTTTTGTTTAATGTACTTTAAATTTACCTTTCAAAACTAATGTCGCTTATGATTAGATGCAAAATTAACTGAAGATTTCGTGGAAATTGTATTCGATTCCAAAAAGTATTTCAATCAATCCCAATTTACAAGCGCACACAGAACAAATAGTCAAAACAGTTTTAAACAAAGCAAAGCAAAACGTCAATTGAATTTGATACTACGAAGAACGATCAAACTTATCTGATTAGCCTTATCATATCGGCATGAACATTGAACACACTCATTGCGATCAACAAACATGCGCAAATTAGGAATATATTTGTAATTTAGTAATGAGCTAAAAATTGGCAGGAACTGACTTAATGTTAGTATCCAAAGAGAGGAAAAAATTGCGCACATTTTATTATATCGCTTTGTCATTTTTTTCTTCTTCTGATTTTTCATAAAGAATTTTCGATGATTTAAATCAATATTTCTTTCGTGCTATTGATTTAATTTTTCAATGTCACCATTACATGAAATTTGGCCAGAATCAGGACATCTTCGATCAAAGTCACTTTGTCACATGGATAATAAATGGACACATCCACCTCACATGAATCTTGGCCCTAATTAAAGAGTCGACTATGCTGTGTATGAATCAACCGTATCACCGTCTATTAGACATGCACAACTTCAGCTATAGGTTGTAAACTGTAAACTGTTAAGAATGTCGATAAGGGTGATATATTAGCTGGGTATATAACTAATAATATTCATTGCAATACAGGAATAAACGCAAATAACATATATTTTTATTGCATTCATTTTTTGTTATTTGATAATTGTTGATAGTTTTGAAATTGTTTTTCATGCATTTGATGTAATTGATCGGGCACGTCTTGATGAAGCTGCTGCATTCTTATTGTTACACTCTCGCATGGATTTGTAAAGTGAAAATAGAACGAACCATAAGTACAATATGAGAGCTGAAATGCAAGAAAATAATTCAATACAGTTTCGAAGTTATTATATGAATTTATTAGCTTGTAAAGACCTGCACAGACATAGTTGATGGCCATAGCAAAAGATAAGATAGTGATTCCGTCAAACGTTTTTTCATCAACCATTTCCGAAATGTATTCCATAATATCGGCAAAATAGAAAATCAATGTGACGATTGGAAAAATGATAAACAAAACCGACGTTGTTAACAGCATAATCAGTGACGGTATCATACAGCCTGGATCGTTCTATGGAATTGAGTAGAAAATACAAAACGTAAATAGCCAAGGTTCTTACAGCAGATAACTCATCTTATTCATGTTGTCCTCACTTTGTATATGCCATAAAGCAGGAAATAGCTGAAAATCGGAAGCACCACTAGAAGTGAGAAAAATGAATGAATTGGAATTTGTGTTCTGGAGCAAAACCATTTACCTCTGAAAATTGATCCGTCTGACAAGATCTCGTTCAACAGTAGAGCATTATAGGGACAACATAAAATACTTATCATCATTTGCAACCAAGCAATTATTACCCCACCCTTTTTCAGGCCAACACAACCGCAGCAACTACTCAAAATAACCATCTCAAACTAAAATTAGAATATTCGGTTTTATTCTATCAGAAGAATGAGATTTTCCAATTGTAAATAGAAAGAAAGAACAGCTATTCAGTGTCCATAGGCTACGCTATAAAGTCGCTCACCGGCAAAGTTTATCAGAATAGAACTTACATATTTTAACCTAAAACAAACACTTGATCCCAAAATTTGGTGTGGTTCCTTCAATTTTCGAGGTATTTATGATCAATCGAAATTATCCATTGTAAATAATACACAAAAAGTGTTCATTTTTTTTAAACATTCGGTGAAAGCATTCCAATCACAGTCATCATTCAATGTGAGACGCTTTATCAACAAAGTTAATGAAGCTTATCATTAAAAAGTTTGCTCTTCAACACAACTGATACACTGCGACAAAAGGATCTGTTTGGCGCTATCAATTTGGTTCAAATTGATTCTTTTCTTTCATGTGTATGTGCACGTGTGATGATGTTTTCATATTAAGCGATAAGATCTGAAGTGCAATTTATTGGCTTCTTATCAGTTTTTGTTGTTGGTGTCGTCATTGCTTTGTTTTTTTCTGCCAGTATAATATGAGACTAATTAAAGCCAGCTGAGGGCATAGTAGGTGAATTACTTTTAGTCGTGATTAGAGTTCAAACGGCGGCATTGATTCAGCGATTCTGTGCGAACGGGGGGACGACACATTCATCACAATGGAAAGTATTGATAAACTGTTGGACGAGTATGAGCGAAAAAATGTGCAAAAAGAATTGGATCGGCCTTTTGCGTACATAGAAAAACTGCCGGGAAAGAATATTCGATCCAGATTGACAGCTGCATTCAACCATTGGATGAACATTCCGTTGGATACACTCAACGAGATCGGTAAAATCGTACAAATGTTACATAATGCCAGTTTGATGATCGATGACATCGAAGATAACTCGTGTTTACGACGCGGTTTCCCGGTGGCACATTCCGTTTACGGATTAGCCAACACTCTGAATACCGCCAATTATGTGTTCTTCTTGGCTCTGGAGCGATGTCAACGACTTGGTCACCCAGATACAGTCAAAGTGTATACGGAACAAATGTTGGAGTTGCACCGAGGTCAAGGGATGGAAATTTACTGGCGTGAAAGTTTCATATGCCCAACGGAATCCGAATACAAGCTCATGACCATCCGCAAAACGGGCGGTCTTTTTATGCTGGGCGTTGGCTTGATGCGTTTGTTCAGTGACAGTGATAAGGATTTTACAAGAATCACCGCTATTCTTGGGCTCTTCTTTCAAATCCGTGACGACTACCTCAATCTGACGAGCAAAGAATACTCGGTGACGAAAAGTTTTTGTGAAGATTTGACCGAAGGGAAATTTAGCTTCCCAATTTTGCATGCCGTAAATGCCAAAAAGAACAGCCAGGAAATTCTGGAGATTCTGAAGCTACGCACCGAAGACGTCAATTTGAAGAAGCGTTGCGTTCAGCTGCTTGAAGAGGCCGGCAGTTTTGCCTACACTCGTGACATTTTGAAGAAGCTGTATGAAGATGCACAGGCAGAAATTGCTAATCTTGGGCCAAACAAGTACATGGACTTATTGTTGAATGAATTGGGCAAATATTGAAAAGGAAAATCAAATGTGATAATTTATGAACATGAAAATGGAAAGTTTTATGTCAATTGCGTATCATTGAGAATAAAATGAAAGGAATACTTTTGAACGTTTTTCGTTTGAATTGTCTGTCATTTGCGAAAAGTAATCATTTATGATTTTTTTTTTTCTGTATACAAATCAATGTGGCACTTGAACGTTGGCTACTTGGAATTATCTGATAAGATTGCGATTGAAGCAAATCGACAAGGGTCAAAAATTCTAAATATTCAATGATTAAATTGGGAACACTGTAATTAGCGAGGCAACACAAGCATGTTGCACATCAAACGAGCTTCACGTTATCGAGGCCTGAGTAAATAGTTGCAAAAATCCATCACGAAACAGGTCAATTGCAGTTGAATATTTATCGAACATCCGCGCATTTGCTACCGCCTTGGGTATGTAATTATAAGTAAATTGTGCGACACAATAAGAAATCATGTTCTACGGCCAATTTGAAAATGTCTTTATTTTTCTGGAGTACTTAGTGAAAGACTCCCAAAAGAAAAATTGATAGAAATTATCATAAAGAAAATCGAAAAGTCTTTTAGAGCCTGGTGCTTAATCGAGATCGAATGTTGTGAATCTGCTCTCACAAATCGGGTGTTAAGTTGTTCGATGATTCATATGTCCCTTTCGAAATGTCGAATTAGGAACAAAGAATTCGTGGGAATTTTCTTTGGACGATTCAAATGAATCTCATGCGTCGAAAAAGCAGATTGTAAGCTAAAAATATTTTCATCTGTTACTCGTTTGAAAGATAAAATATTTCTTGTGAAATGAAACTGTGAGTAAGCTATATTTTAGGAATTTTAAATTAATAGTCACGTATGGAGTCCAGTTCAAATGCGTTAACTTGAAGCTGACTCATAATTCTGGCCATTTGATGTTCAAAATATTTTTCGGAAAGATCACCAATGTGTCCAAAACGCATGAATACGGCATCGCATAAGGCAGTTATCGCATAAATATCGCGCGATAATTTTCTGCTTGCGTTGCCGCAGTATACGATATTTCAATGGCCGTCATCTTGCGACGCTCGCTTGCGTTCGCTTCGTTATATGTGTAAAGCAATTCGAACGTGCGTCGTAAGACGGCTATTGAAATATCGTATACTGCGGCAACGCAAGCAGAAAATTATCGCGCGATATTTATGCGATAACTGCCTTATGCGATGCCGTATTCATGCGTTTTGGACACATTGAAGATCACGCTTTATCATAGCCTCAGTGCAAGACGACCATTCCTTGCGTGTATGAAATTTCAAAACCAAATGTGATCTGAATTGATCAAAACTTAGCAGTTTTGGATGTAAATCAGTACATTTGAAGTCAAAACCTTAAAAAGTTGCAAATAGAAATACATATTCCATAAATGAATGATTCAAATTTTTAGATTTTTTTCTATTCGGACCATCGGTTTTCATTGTGGATCTGATAACCAAAATTGTTCAACGATTTTTCATACAGTTCTTTTTTAAACAAATTAACAAAAGCTGATAAATTGTTTTGATAAAACATTTTTCAATTAAATCATAATCTGAACAAATTAGTCCAGTTAAAATTATAAGTCGATTGAATACGCGGCTTAAACGACGTTCCTGTTTGTACAAGGCATGAAGAACAAACCAGATGTAAAAATAAAGAGCTGAAAAACAATGAAAATAATAGTTTCGTTCAACAAACAACTACAGAAATTTATGTTTGGCGGCGCTCCCAACAAAGTTCTAAACGTCAAACATTGCTATAGCATATGAGATAGATAGTATTGTTATGGGATGTCAATGTCGCTTGTTTTCATACGAAACTTCGAAAATGCATGTTTTAATTCATTGTAATCTGTTTGAATAGTCTTCAATCTGTATATTTTCTATGAAAAATTTAATATTTATACCATAATTCAATGGTTTTCGAAAGAAAAAAATATTTTCATAAATATTTCCGGTTGCCCTGATAATAAAAGCAATCGAACACTTTTATCCAGATCCATTTTTCGCCTACGATCGACATAAATGATATGATTTATAATTTATATGTTGAGAGATTCTAGCGTTTATACAGCGATTCACTTTTAGGTACAATTCATGTTGTTTTTTTTTGCAAAAAAAAGTTTCGTGTTCATCCACATCCATAGCAATAACAACGTAGAAGTCTTCTACTAGAAGACTCGAGTAAAGAAAAAGTATCGAAATAAAAATGGAATTTTGTGAAAAATGATAATAAACAGAATGAAGAAAGATGGAAAAAGATGGAGAAAGAGAGCCAAAGCGAGAGTTTGATGTCAACTGACATTGAAATCCTGGTCAGAGACCTACTCAAAGACAACGAAAACAATATGTTTTTTCAGTTGCCTAGACTGGTGTTGTAAATCTCGCTCATGTTCCCAAATAACAGACAAATCGCTGAAATACGCGAGTTCTATGAGTAAGTATCATTTGTACTTTCATCCGAAAGAGTGAAAGAATGCAGCCATTGTGAAATTTGCTAGACTTTATGTGTGTGTTTTTATTTTTAAATTTCAACAACTGCAACAACAGTTACAGGATTTATTGTTTAAATCAAAATTTTAAATGATATTCCATTTCATTTATTCAGCAGACGTGTTTTGCCATCGAAGAGAGTTGGCCAAATTGGTGAAAAAAGAAACGTTGCAATTAAAATGATCAATTTTAAGACATTTATATTTCTTATTGTGGCAATCGCAGTGCCCGCGAGTGCAATTAAAGGTGGTAGAAATGCAACAGCTCAAGAGGCTGGACCCACTGTTGCGCTTTGGCTAGATGGATATCCCTACTGTGGAGGTACGATTATTACAAGCAAGCATATCCTCACAGTCGCACATTGCATTTATAATCTGGTATCATTTGTTCGAGTTGAATCTGCCGATAAAAGTTACAACGAATCAGTCCCCAAAGCCAACGTACGTGTTCATCCATTATTCAATTTAAATTTAATTATTCAGTAAGTGTCGTTCACGTTTTTTTCAGACCATATGTCATTTCTCTTAAAATAATTTCATTAAATTATTTACGTATTTATTAATCCTGTGTTTCACTCAATAGCGATGTTGGTATCATCATACTTGTTGTTGAACTTTCCTTCACCGATACACTTTTCGCAGTTTCTTTAGCTTGCAACTATCCTTCTCCCAATACAACACATTATATTACGAGCGGAGGACCGTTGAATGAAACGCTACCGGCTCCTTCTGAATATCTTCAATTCCTCCAAATGCAATCCATTACATATATTTGGTGCATTGTAAAATCATACAACCCTCTGGTTATTATCCGAGAATCGATTTGTTTGTTGGCTACATTTGGAAACTCGGTTTGTGGTGGAGATTCAGGTGCTGGAATACTTGTTTATAAAGTGGTAGCTGGTGGAACTGTTAGAGTGATAACTGGTATTATTAGCTACTCAGCATATCTATTAGGGACTTCATGTAGTGGTCAATATGCAGTTGGCGCGACATCCGTTGCTGGAAATTTTGATTTTATCACGAATATAACAAACAGTATCAATTGCACATGTGTACCATGATTATTTTCTTTTGCATCTTGTGATGAAGAACAAAAACAACGTTATGGCCCAATAAAATTGTTCAGCCAAAATTGTACGACATTAACCGACAGCTATTCTGACCCCGTACATTTAATTTAATTTATTAATTGTCATATAAGTCAATCAACCATCTTTTTCAAAGAAGAAAATCTTTTTTTTTGTCATTTTTGAAATAATTCTGTAATAGTATAAATATATTTCGTGCACAGCCAAACAAAATAATCAATGAAAATTCGGTGGAAATGTGTTTCAATAAATTGCATATAAAAACTTTTGCGTGCTGTTTTTTTTTGTACATTTTATCACATTTGAAATGTTTGTGTGTAAAAATGCTCAATTATTGTTTGAAGCTAGAAATAACAATGTTAGGCGGAATATGATTTAAAAATCAATATCATATCGATTATGCACAAATTTTTCCCTCGATACCATTTTCAACGTTGACCATGCCGTTGCTCAATTCCGGAACATAACGCATACGTCGATACAATGCCAATATCACAGCCCAGAAAAAGATAATTACTACACAGAAAAGGGGGCTCATTTGAAATTTATCCGTTTTAAATTCAGCGTGTGTGTGTGTGTGTGTGTTTGAGTATTTACCTACTGACGTAATTCCGAGCGCACCCAACATAAATCGCTTTTCTTCGGCTGTAAAATGCTTTGGGTTCTCATAAAAGAAATCGGTGACCACATCATCCTCGAAATTGCGCTCGTCATACGGTTTTAGTAAGATGAAGTTTACAATCGAAATTACACATTGAATTAGAATGATGACGAGCTCGACCAAATATGGGATCAAAAATTCGGATTTTTCCTATTGGAAAAACAATGAAGACCAGAAATGTTCATATTAATTTTCCAAAAAAAACATTTGATGCGAAATTATGATATGATGAAAGAAACGAGAGCTCTTTTTGTTTCAATGGTGATGTACTCATGAATTTCTTATGAGAATTCAGGGTTTGCGTCATCGAAAAAATCACCTTTCGCGTATTATTATGTTCGGTTGTTCACATGTTTACCTTATAAATCCCGTAAAGAAGACAACCCGACACGATTAGAAAGTGCACTAGAAACCAAGCCAAAATTGTCGATGGATTAGGGATTGTTTTTTTGTTGGTGAATAACAGACAAACTTACGAGACACTGACACATCTCCAGATGCAGATACCGGAAATGAACATATCAAACTCAACACACCGATTACTATTCCTCCCGTTTTCCAGTCAAAACGAAACAAATTTGGCATTCGCATGATTTTCTGCTTGTTTTCAAATGAAATCAAATTCAATTTTTCTTTCGTTCAATTTCGAGAAATCAACTATTTTCCTTGTTCGCCTCTTCAATTATGAGAATATCGATTGGTTAGCACAAAAGTCTCCGAGCCTAATGAACGGCACGACGTATGATAGTCAAATGAGTGTGGCTGTTTCAAACGCCCTGCTTTTTAAACTGGATTGGTTGTCATGAAAAATGCACAAGAAATTCTGACCAAATCGTTTGGTTATCGGTGAATAATAAATGAGGCTATCGATTTTGAATAATTCTGACAAACCAATCGATTGTTCTGTGAAAACGATGACGAAAAAACTCATACGATGTTTTCCACTTTGTTAACGTTGAACCGTGGACAATCAATTGGATAGTGTACAAGCGAGTCAAAAATGTAGACTATGTGTATTGGAGGATTCATTAAATCCAAGTGGCTTGTTTCCCTTAACAAAAAACGTTGAATTTTAAATAGGTTTTTTTTTGTGTGTATGTGTATTTTTACTACGCATCATTTTATAAAGTCAATCATTTTATTTCGTTAGCACAATCGATGTTTATTCTTTCACAACTTTTTCATAAATGAAAAAAAAAATCTCTCATTTTTAATTGCATGTCAAACGATTTACTGATAATTGAATGCAAGTCCATCTGAAGCATTGGTGCCATGGTTTTGATTTGAATTTAATGGATAACTATTGATGCCCACATTCAAATTAGCTGGATAATGGCTCATGGTTAAATGCGACGATGGTGGATAGTTCCCCAAATTTATATTCGATAGATTTGGATTCGTTTGATAATTATCAATAGTTAAGTTTGGATGGTGATGTGGATAATTATCCAGAAAAACGGAATCTTGCACTTTGTGACCAAAAGCAGTTATTTCTTGATACAACGAAAAAATGACAATCCACGAATAAATTGACTCTATAGTTAAGATTATAACCAGGATGATGGCAATCGTTTTTAAAATTGCAAAATCATTTTCGTCCATTTCACCCACGAGGAGCTCTTTGAAAAATGCATCCACATCTTCCGGTTTGGTAAAGCCTTTGAAGGCGATGTATATCAAAGTGCCTAATGCTCCCGCTACTGAAATGAGTTGCTCGATCAAGTAGGGTACAAGGCATCCAGAGACGTTCTATGGAATCAATATGTCATAATGTTAAATAATTTGAATAACAATCATAATAATAATAAGTTGTCTATATATACCTTTAGAATGCCATAGATGAGACATCCGCCTACCACAAATTTTATCACTAGAAATCAATAGAAATTTTTTAGATGTGCTTTCAATGAATATATTGATGATTTGAAAAACGAAAGTGTCGAGAAATTAGTCATACATGGCACTAACAATCCCGTCTTCAGAGATATAAGTCCACAGAAGATTTCAAATCCAGCGATAATCAATCCACCGGTTCTCAAATCAACACAACAACACGTCTTGACACTCATTTCGTTTAATCGATTATCATTCAAAAATACAATAAAATTCAAATTTGAACAGTTTAAATCGTTTTTGATCCACTGGAGTGAATAAAAGATTCAACAAGTCACCGAAATGAACTCTATTTGAACAAAAATATCTTCAATCGAAAAATGTAATAGATAACAGATTTAATATGCGTTTGGTTTTTCTAAATTCTTCACTGGTATTATCATAATAGAAGTAATTTGAAACTTTAAACTTGCACACAAACAACAAACACACGCGCTTCTATGGAACATGCGGAGAAGAATGTCGTGAATGTGTGAATTGTCCATTTCATGAGCACGGTACACATTTGAATTTTCTCATAAACAGGTGTTTTATTGGTTTTTCAATGGAATCAACACAATCTGTCACATTTTCATGTCCATTTATATTCTAGTTTATATTGCAGTGAATAGCGAGCGAATACTGTAATTTATTCTATTAATTTATTTTCTTCGAAAAATGCTTTAGAGTTAGCAATAATTAAAGTAGTACACATCAAAGATGAATAGAATATGCAAAAATTGATGAAAAAAATTATCAATTTTCATGCAACTGAAGTCGTTTGCTTGGCTTAATTTTAAAATACCCAAAAAAGCTTGATTAAGTATAAGCATGGTAATGAATCCGATGGAGCTGCCCAAAAGCTGAACGAAAACAGTGAAAGCAATCGGTGGAGTGTAACTAAGATTTCTATTTGAGACCGTATAGTGCAATTTTCTACAAGTGCCATAATGGTATGCTAAGTGATGCCAAAATTGGTGTGAAAGTCAAAGACAAGGAAATACATAAATGATTTACTTCTGGTGACTTCAGTTCAAAGCTTGTGAGCTGTAATTTGTTGAGAGAGCCAATTGTTTCTATTGTATTTGCATTCGCATTAAATTTTTCGTCAAATTATTTACTCAATGTGAGCGGAAAATGGTGTTTATCAATCAAAAATCACGAGCAATTTGCAGTTGAAATGATGTTGAAAAGCGAATTATCAAACCGTCGAACGTGCATAACGGCACATCTGAAGTGTATGGAATATCTATGCTCTGTGTACGGCCGCTATGGAAAATACGAGCTACAACATACGTAAATATATATAGATAGATAGACTAGAGTGTATATATATGTTGCATCACTGTCTCCTCCGTCACAGATGAATTTCGTGGTGCGCTTCGAGTGTTGGCTGCTTATGCCGAATGCACGAAATTCAATGTATCGAGTAGCAAATCGTCTGTGACTCAGTTCGCTGCAACGGATGCCTATATTCGCTCGAGTTTTGTGTGTATGCTTCGTTTATTTTTTCATTATTCCTTTCAACTTCTCTGCTGTTCGGTTCGTGCTTTCGATTCAATGTGCTGTGTATCTGCTCCACATGCTTTATAATCTTCTGGTAGCATAGCTAAAGTGTTATTGGTTTGTAGCCTGCACAGCGGTATCAGTCGTGTTTGAAACGTCGTCCAAGCCAAACGGAAATTTCGACTCCGAACATCCTAATCGAAACAGATTATTGTATTTGGTTTTTAATTTCTGTTAATCTGGAAGAACTTGTAAAAAACTTGAGCTATCGATTTTATTCGAAGCAAAAAAGAAATCTGACAAACTTTTAATTTAGACATTCCTGTCATCTGATTCAACGTTAAAAAACTTTCTTTGTGATAACGTGTAAATTATCGTAACGACGGTCACTTTATCTGCTCATTTTCTTATTGTTAATCGTTTTTTTTTGTTGTTGACAAATCAACGAGCCTGTTATTTTTTTAGTTTGATTTAGTGTCTGTGATTCTGTTACAGAAATAAGTTGTTGAATAAAATACGAAAACCCAACGAAAAATGGGTAAAGACGAACAAACAACGGATGCCCAAGTGACAAAACCAAAACTATCCAACGACTCAAATCTCAAGACAACCGTCGATGATGAACTCACTAAAATTGGCAACGGCGGACCATGGGTTTGGTAATGAAATGATTCTCGCTCAAATCGAGAATTTATTTATTTTTTTCCTCTAAAATTAAAAGTATGTGCAGGATTTGGATGTAAATTGGATGGGAATGTGTGCTGTGGTGTGTGTCTGTGTGTGCGTGCGTGCGTGCGTGTACACGATTGATGCGAATGTTTCGCAAATTGAATTGTGCGTGTGATACTTTTGAAGTGGAAGAGAAAGAGCGAGAGTAGAATCATGTGTGTCGTCGTCGACGTTAAACGAAAATCAAGAATATATGCATATGGATCAGACTGTTGCTGAGCTTAAAAATGTGCAATATTCCGAAATGCCTGATGACAACGGGTCGATACAAATAACAGAGATATATGGAACACATGATGACAAAACAAATTTTTCTTTTATTGACATGCAGCAGCGGGCACATGTGTTTTTATTTCAAAATTGTGAAATCCAATAAACTCGCTATTTACTTTCTTCTCATCTCTCTGACTATCTTCTTTCGTCTGTCATTTTTTTCGTTGCACTTGTCGAAATGGTTGGATTTATCAGTGCTTAGCATTCAAAATCGATCGAACTAATCGGTCATTGGTGCATATATATTCGATTTGAAGATGAAGAAGAAGAAGCAAAAACAGCGTGGAAAATCATATTTTGCAATCGCACATGATTCCAAAGTGTCTGTTGCTGCTGTTCTCTCAAACACTCGTCGACGTCGACGTCGTCGTCATCACATTGATGTTGGAATGCGTGAGTTTGCGCAGAGTAGAAAAATAGGGAAGAATCATGCTGTTTGTACAGATGTGTTTGGGAATTTGGGCTCAAATTTGTTGTTCGACTTCTTTTCTTTTTTAAAATTCTAAATATAGATGCGAATCGGTGTTTGTTATTAATTTCACAGATTTGTGTCTTAGACACACATGTGTGATGTGCATGCATGCATGTTCGCGGGCACGTGTAAGGGACAGCCCGCGCGATTCATCATCATACAATAAACATTGTCCACGTTGAACAATTGATGGATTGTTGTCGATATAAATTGATGTTTATATTTGTTTACACCAGAGAGGTTGATGAGCCTTGGGCCAAAATCATGGGGTCCACTGAAAATTTGCATGTTCATTCACTAGCTGCTGTAGCTGCAAGTTGCAGTCGGCACTTGTGATTTGTGCCTGAATGTAGCGTCAATAAATATATCGATTGACCTCAAATGGTAACTTTGGCACGGTAGGAGTAGCCATGCTCTACAACAATCGCTAGAATAAAATATCATTTAACTTAACTGAATGTCGCACGTGCAGATACGAAGCGCCACAATCCACTCGCGTACGTGGAAAAAAAACAATATGGGACGCGTAGAGCTATAGCGACAGACGGAATTAGCGAGCGTCTAATTGAATTAACATAAATTAAAAGGAAAATGCTTTTACTAAAATAAATGTTTTGCCCAGTAAGTGCACACATTTCTTTGACGGCCTATCGATTGATGAACTCCACGGTAATGGCATTCATTTCATTGAAGTAAACTTTTCATTAAAACATTGAAATTGTGTAATCGCAACGAACTAAGTTGACGATGTTGACGGTTATTGCCAATGCACAGCGTCATTTAATCGATGAATTTACCTTCTACATTTTTTACCGTCGACAGAAGAGTGAAAACAAGACCGCAGAGCGTCGCTTCGCTGCGTTCTGCGTTCTTGAGTTTTTAGTTACTTAATCTATTTTGTTGTTAAACAACAAACTATTTTTTGGTGCACTACGTGAAATGTATTTCATCATACTGCCTTTGGTTTAAATTAAATAAATAATATGAGCTTAGAATCTAAACTCTCTTTAATTCTGTTCAAGACTCAGAAAATATTATACGAAAAATTAATGTAATTTTTAAACAACATTTGATAATCAAAAATTCGATTGGCGCTTTGAGATATTGTGCACTTATTTGTCGTTAGTTTTAAATTAAATAAAAAATATGAGTATAAAATTCAAATTCACCATAATTTGATTCATCACTCAAAAAGTATTAAGAAAAAAAGAAGCAGATTAGTAGCTCTGCATTTCATGTAGTGCTAAAAAGCTACTAATCCAAAAATCGGAGCAATTATGCAGGTACATTTCCTACATAAAATCACTTTGTTTATGATGGCATTGACATTGCGAGCGCGCACAAAGAGTCAACAGCGAATTAACGTTGACATTAGTACGGCGCTGAAGTGTTTTTATTTTTCATATCTTTCATGTGTTTCTAATTCATTCTGAATGAGTCCGGTTTTTTCCGATGCATTTCGAAAATGTTCATAATGTCCCCGTAAATACTTATACGTGCCGTATGCACGACAACAGAACATCGAATTAATTCAGGTTGTTTGGTTCATTTCATTTGAATGCAAAATCCTTCTTATTTTTTCACAGGAATTGTCATTTTTATCTCTTCTAAAGCCGGCTTTATCATTTACATTACGATGAATGTCATAGATATGTGTGATAAAATCACGATCGCGCGGAAAATTATTTTCGAGTCTCTCTACGAAATTGTCTAATATGTGTTTTTTTGTAGCTTTAGCAAACATACGTAACCGGAAATAACAATATTGGAATGAATGAGAATCGAAGAGACAATGTAACGACGCGTCAAGTACTTGTGTATGTGTGTTGTCTTATTGTTTAAATAAATTTTACCTTTATGGCAAAAGTGTCCTCGATTCAGTTTTGTTTTCTCGAGTTGTTATTGTGCCATTTGTTGAGCACGAGGACTTTTCAATATTATGTATTCAATTCGAAATCTCCAATCGAATCGTTTTAATCACATACAGACAATTTGGCACACTTACTGCAATCACTGTCATCGCACAAATATCAAAGTGTCATCCCGATGATATGAAACTCCCTCACGTTGCTCTCTTTGTATGTTCGTGTTTCTCTTTTATTCCATGCGATTTTCAGCCGTTATCATAGCGTTTCTCTTTTCATCCAAATTCGAAATTAACTTTCGACTTTGTTGACAATTTAATTGTGAAGGAGATGAGTATAAACAAAAACAAAACAATCACAGCCTTCATAATGATGATGCACATTTCGATTTTTATGCGATTAATTTATAATGCAATTAAACGGTGAAGGGGGATCGAAATTGCGGCAAATAAAAATCGAAACCGATAAAACCACTGCCGCCTCCATCATACATTGTTCCATCATTTCGATCAATTGAATTGAACAAGAGTGATGTGTGTATTATCTTCAAGTGCGATACTCACAATTTATTTCTGAATCTTTGCGACAAAAAGTTGCCCTCAGAATGATCCAGAGATGAAACGAAACGTGCATTTGGTCTACAAACAAAGAACAACAACGCAAGATTTTGTACCAAAGGAAAGCAAATATGGATGACAAATATTGCAGTTTAAAGCCGAAGCCAAAACTATTTTTCAATGTTTGCCTGAATGTTCCGCTTCCTCTGAATTATTCCGATGGAAACTTTTTGTCGCAACGGTTCATATGTGCTTCGCGAGACGAAGAAAACAAAACTCATGGCAAACGAATGTGTGCGGTTTTTGCTATTGAAATGTGAACTAGGCATGAATTATCTGTGAGAAAAATTAGGTTATTGTTTTAAATATGTTTATGTGCCATTGTTTTCATTTCGCACATTCTTCTCTCTATATGCACCGCGCTGGGCCACCGCCGCCGCCGCCATGTATATCACGTAAACATCGGGGAACGGAACTTGATTTTCATGATTGACGCTCTTAAACTGTTGCAATTTTACTTTAATGATTTTCGTCCACATTCTATTAACATTTCTTCGTTTATTCTCTTATTCCCTTCTCTCTCTCTGCTTATATGGCCCATTCAAAATGTTCACTTTCAAAGTACACAAATTGCGTCGCACCGTCGACAACAATAAATTTAAACAGAGCCACACTCAACCAAATCGAACCGAAAACAAAACGGAAAGAAGAACAAAGTTAGTTGAATATGCATAGCTCAAAGGAATTGCCCAATTCCATTGTATAGCATTAGATTTATGCAAATAATTTCAAGTCGGCGTCTAACCTTTTGGGGCGACTAGCACACTTTGTCTATATGCGTTGAATTTCGGCTAGCCGCGTCGTCGTGCATAAATTAAACGTCGCATCCGAAATTAAAGCCCACTGGTTGGCTCGCTGCACTTAAAAGCGTAATCGACAAATTGATTTCTCAAAACCAAAAACACAAAAAAGACTTGACGAATTTTAATGTCGCATTGTTTTCAATTTGTGTGTTATTGGAACTGTGTATCGTTATTTGGTTCATTGGAGCAGATTTTTTTTCGCCAGAGAGAATTGATTAAATCGTTCTTGCTTTCACCTTGATTATTGATAATGTATTTTATAAGTTCCATTTAAATTTGCTCTGTCTCACTTCCGATTCTCGCAGACAATGCAAATGCTAGTTTTTCTTTTTCAGTTCAGGATCATCAATCAATTTTGACAATTCGAATTGTCAATAAATATGAATGTATTAAAAATAAAGGGAGAAATGTTTGCAGCAACAATTTTCCATTTAAAATTAAGTGCACATTTTGTGAATTGTGTGGCATCGCTGCACGGTGTGAAAATCACCATCAGTTTTATTCTCTAAATGTATTTCAATTGTATGCGGATACAATTTGATGCCACATTGATCTCTATTTTCGTCAGTATGATCTAACCGCTATTACAGCACAAGTCACAAGCCGCATTTCGTCTGTCAACAAATTCACAAGATTTATAACGCATTATCATCCAAGTATTCTAGCAAATTTCCAACAAATAGCTAATAGTTTCAATGTTTGCAAAAATAACAAATTCCAATACAAACAGATTCAATGTGTGTGATGAGCAAATACAGGTAATTACGCCGAAACCAAAGCCATATCATGCGTGCTTAGAGGCTTTGCTATCTTCGAATATATGATTTCATTCATTTTTGGTTCACTTCGGATTATCAATACGATATTTTGTGTGCCAAATATGATAATATCACTTATGGAAGAAACATAAAAATCAGGTTCACCTGACGATGTAAACCAATTATTATCCAACGGTGGGCTGGTGCGCGTCCAATCGAAAGTGTTTTTGTTGATGACACAAATATCGGCGAATGTTATTCAATGTTGCCCATAAAATGTCAAGTGTTTTTCCAACTAATTCGAATTAAAATCACGTCATGTTCAGTGGCACGGGTGTTATTTTTACACCTTAGAAGCACCTAGCAAAACATGATGCGTATTTGCGTATTTATATGTATACATCGGAATGAGCATGAGTAATGTTGTTATCAAAAATTCAGCTAATGATGAATGATCATTTATTCGAGAATGGAACGTATTAATATCGAGGTGTTATAATACATACTGAACAAACAGCGATCAACACAAATTTGTTTGAACATTGAAGAAAAACAATTCCGTGTTCCGGTTTGAGCACATGCAAATTAAGCAAAAATAGATATGCCTAAAATGGTGTTGTTGTCGCACACAGCCGACTGATAACCACACGTACGAAGAAAAAAACACACAGAAAAATCCTTTGATTTGTGTTATTCATAGCAATGGACAATGGAGAAGTCAAGCGCGCGTTCGTCACAACAAATACCTATTAGGCGAATTACTCATGCCGCTGCTGCTGCTCTATTGTGTGATTGCCCATGAAAAACCGTAATACTCTGGATTTGTTTGATGCATTTTATTTACGGGTCTATCATATGCCGCGCTTTTTTTGCCTCGTTTCGTTTTGAATTGCATTACAAAGCTCATCTAGTATTTAGACTAAGTAAATGTTTTTCTCGCTCTTCATTTGTCTGCCAGTTTAGTTTTTGTTATAATTTGAGTGGTCAATTAAAGTGAATGACACCCGCACTTTTTTTTGCATTTTATTTTTTGCGTCCGAATAAGCGTCGTTGTACACCGATCACATGTTCATGTGTTCGCTCCCGTTTGTCAGACAGAGTGTGTGATATTCCAAAACAAGACGCCGACAATGATGACAATAAAGCGCGCACAGACAACGCAATGAGCGTGAAACAGAACAAGCACTAGCGAGGCTTCATCGGCGCACTACGGATTAGCAATTTAAATCACTATTATTCGAATTACGGATAGTATTTTACAAAATAGCTCGCCTGGAATTTTTTTTATTACTTGGTTTTTCTTGGATGCATCTAATCATAACTATCTCTATGGGTGAGATTGAGAGTGGGTGTATGTTTTTTGAAAACTTACATTTTGTATGGTAGAGTATGACTCTACTAGTGGTTTTTGGCGATTTTCCCTTTATTGACAAAAATTATCGGATTGGTGGGCTTGCAAAAATTGGTGGGCTTGCAAAAATTGGTGGTCTTGTTTTAAATTGGTGCACCGCTTGAAAACACATTCTACTTCACCCAATACAAAGTCTGTGAAACATACACCACTCTCAATCTCACCAATAGATCTGTGCGAGTAACAGGCAAATTCAATGATCTCACAGTCGGTTGTTTTTGCACACGTTCGTTCCATTGCATTCATCAGACACATCATTCCAGTAGCACTAATGTCTAACAATCTCTGATTTATCAAATTTCTTATGCACTTTTCTGCCATGCCATAGATGAAAAACGAATGCCAAGGCCATTGTCATTGATTTTGGAATCGAATTAGAAATTCCAATATGTGCCGGTGTCTCTCTCTCTCTCTGTCTGTGTGTGTGTGGTTTGCTGTTGCAACAAAAAAAATGTAAACAGTAGCGATGTCTGAACAATAACAATAAAATCAATGCTGCAATACAGAACAATGTAAATATATTCATTGATATGGTGTTGCACACACTGGCACAAACAACAGCAACAACCGCAGCTACAACAGTAGCTCACCGGATTGACATGGTAGAACTCCATGTGAGTCCGCATAATTAAACGGAAATCGAGTCGAATTTAATGCGCTTACATAACAGAAATCAAATTTCATTAACTTTTTTCTTCTCTCTCTCTCTCTCTCTCACTTTATCTCCATATACATTGTTATGTGTGTTTCGATGTAGAGACGGTTGTAAAGAGCACGATATACGTCAATATTCTCGATCAAACCATAAAATTTACCGCGAACAAATGCAATCTTTTTCAGAATTTATAATACGAAAATAATTGTCGGTTCAATCGAACTCTGTTGCTACTACGTAAATCACGCTGCTACCGTTGTTGTTGTTTTATGTAAAAAACGCTAGATTTCTATTGATAAATTGCATGGAATGAATTGGATTTAAATTGAAATTATAAGTGTATAATTGCAATTGATCAAACGCATTACAATGATTACCGCCAAGACTGTTGTACAAGAAAAAGAACGTAAATAATCATGAATTTCTCACGCAATTGGCCCGCATTGAACGTGTGATGCGCGTTTACGAGATCCTAACGGGAAAATCGTTTGACAGCACTAATTCATATTGTTCTCGAAAGCAAACAAATGAAAAGTGAATAAATAACTATTGTTTTATCATTTGAAATTTACATTGCCAAAACCTGGCGAAACGCAATCTCATTATTGAATGCCAATTAGAATTCATAATTTTTTGCTTTTTTTTCGTTAAACTTTTTGCGCTCGCTTTTTCTTTCGTTCTTGCTACTTTTATTTGCCAAAAACATTGTTACAATTGGCGAGCCGTCACGGTATGGCCGTAGACATCAAACATATTTGTGATTCGTTTGTGATTTTGTTAAATATAACAAAAAGGTCAATTTCTAAATACGTCAGAGTGCTTGTTTTTATTTTTGCAACGACTCCGTCTCGCGCTAAGCAGGCAGCGCAAGAATTTTAATTTGTAATTAGGTTGGTTTTGTGGCCGACAACGTAATTAAATTTTGAAATATATGCGACCAGTAAAATTGAAAAAAAAGAGACAAATTAAATGATTGGTGTTACAATATGGCGTCGATACGTGGATTCGCAATTCAGAAGAAGAAGAAACGACACAAAGCGAAAAAGATTTATTCAAAACGAAAACTGTGTTATGCTTGGTGCTAAAATCAAATGATGGTCTAACATGCTAGCAATTGTTTGCTGTTTGCTAGAATTTTTGTTTTTTGATAGTCTTAGTATCGAACATGAAGTACTGTTTCGATTAGCTAAAGATTAGCATTCTTCAAGCTGTAACATTTGATTTTTTCCACGTTGCGTGCTATTCTTCTACCGGACCGCCCTTTTGCTCTGTGCATATTTACTTTAATTTCTTATCGTAACCGACACCGAGGTGTTATGATGTTATGCGATTTTTGTTTTTCTCAACAAACACTTTCGAATGCGAAATTCAAAATATTTCGAGCAGTGCAAAAAAAGCGGCTGTAATTGCATTCGGTTCGATACAACCATTGCATAATGAACTGGAATCAATTCAAAGCAAGGCCTTTACCTAGTATTTATCGTATCATCATCATCGATAGCGGCAAGTGAACACAAAGGTGTGGCGGAGAAACAACAGTCCATTTAAGGGCAACACTCTCACACAGACAAATTCCAATTCGATTTGATTTGATTTCATAAACAAAACAAATACACGAATCCCTCGATCATGAACTTGTAGACGAAATAGACGGAACGAGAAAAAAAATCGCACCGCTTTTTTCCGAACTGTGAAAATAATGATTCAAAATAAATACATCAAATTAATATGCCTCACTGTTCTGACGGTACGTTGTACAAACGAAACGAAATAAAACAAGAATAACAACGAAACATGAAAAAAAAATTAACATGAAAACGTGCGTCCTAGATTCGAAAGTGCACGAGACTTGAGTGATTGTTATGGATGAATCGAAAACTGGAACGGCCAATGCCAAAAGCAAACAACACTACGAAAAAAAATAAAGATGAACTACTAGTTTGTATGGTTAGTTATGGAATTTGAATTATGTATACTTGATCAAGTTGATATAGTTTTCTTCGAGAGAAATTTGAATAATTCTTATGCGACTTTCTTATCGCTTTTTTTTTTCAAAACATTGTTCATTCTTCCCAAAATTCTACGAACTGAATTACGCATTTCCGATCAAGTACAAACCAGAAATTCAGCTGAAATGCAATATAGTTTATTGTCTTCATCTTTATTTTGACAGGAAATAATACAATTGACGTAAAACACGTTGATATTCTCGTTTCAAGTTTTAGATCTACACAAATATGGACGAAATAAATGCTTTGAATTGAAATGAATGACACATTTTCACACATCGTTCCATCTGAATTACATAATTAGTGCCAAACATCAGATCACACAATTTGATAGATTGAGTGATAATCGGTTGAAATTAATCGTATTATTGTCAATCATTCACACTATATGGAGGTATAATTTGTTGAAAATGCTACTTAAAATGTCCAGCACGTATTAAACGATTGTGTCAAACCGGGAAATCATTGTAATTAAACGGTATGTCACATATTGTGTTTCGCAAATGTGATTTTATGTGTTGATAAGATGTAATAATCTATTGAGTCTAACAATCATGGGCAGAAGCAGCAGACACGCTTTGTGTCGTTGACACGAACATTGTTCATTCTTATCGGGCAATCATAATGGTTCGACCATTTGGCTAATCAATACTATGTTCATGACGTTTTATTATCTTGCTCACATCAGCTTTGATTAAATTACCATCTTCTGATCGTGACGACAAAATTCCGAGGGGGAAAAATTTGGAGATCATTACCGTCAAGTTTAATCTGGACATATGTCATTTATTCAATTGAATCGCTTATAAACTTAATCTATTCAACGTACATTTGTCGTTGATTAAACTGTTTTTGTATGTCTTAAAATACCAAGTCAACAAGGAATGAAAAGAAAAACGTTGCAATCTTGTTATTTCTTTGCGAATTTCACTTTTCATTGATGATCATAAGTAATTTCGTTCTTTTTCTCTTTCTCTTTCTCTTTCTCTTTCTCTTTCTCTTTCTCTTTCTCTTTCTCTTTCTCTCCTTGATGGGGTCGATGCATTTTCAGGAAGCTCTTCTTTTTGTGCGTTACACCAAACATACTGAATGGATTCCATGTGTCGTCGTATGTTTTTCTGGGTCAACCGCCGAAAGAGCATTGGTGCGTCATCAGTGGACTAATCAATTCCAATTGGAGCGATAGCCAGATGCGAACAATATCATCCACGTAAATATGCCTTATTCATATCTGATTTGATCCAATTGAGCGCGCTGGCCAAATAATTTAACTCTCCACAACAAATTATTCTATTGTAGAAATGATGGCCTTGGCGATGGATGTAAAATTTTGGATTGGGACTATCCATATTTGGGTTCCTTAAATTACAACGATGCTGTTTCGTATACCAAGTCACATCCACGACCCGAAGCCATTTCATGCTTACAGAATTCAAACAATAAATACCATTACGTACAAGAACCGGGCTCATCAATTGTCCTCGAGGTAAAGAAAAACAGCAAATCAACCGCATTTCTCTATCTAACTTTTAGAATGACGCCATATGCTGTATCCTGCTATTTTCTATTTACATTTTCAGTGGGATTTGATTTGCGAGAAAAGCTTTTGGCGGACAACTGTTGCAACGGCCGTTTCAGTTGGAAAATTCTTGGGCGCAACTACATTTGGTATTTTATCGGATAAATATGGTAGAAGGACCTGTTTTATCATTGGTTCAATATTTTATATTGCCGGAAGTATTCTAACTACATTTTCACCGTGGTATTGGCTGTTCTTGATCGGTCGAGTCCTCCTGGGTAGCTCATCGTCCGGTCTCTTCTATCCGGCATTTTCTTTATGTAATTTTCACTTGATATTATGCTCATATTTGCTCAATTAATCAAAAGATATCGATCGATCAATCAACCGTTGCTATTTTTGTCCTTTCGTGTGTTTGTTTAGTGACAGAAAATATTGGATCAAAACATCGGTCATGGATGAGTATTGCATTCAGTATGTCATATCCAGTCGGTATGATTTTATTGGCCGTTTCAGCAAACTACATTCATGCGTGGAGAAACCTTCAACTATCTTTAACCATTCCCGCATTTTTGCTGGTGTTTTATTGCTAGTACGTAATTTCTTTAATTCCATTTTCAAAAAACCCAAATTTTTTTTGCTTGGCCTAAAACTTGAGTGCAATTTCCACCTTGAAACAGTTTCCTCAATGAATCACCGCGATGGTTGATATCGAAGGGTCGTGAAGCCGCAGCTTATCGGATTGTATTCAATAAAAAGTGTGATATGGAATTCTCAGAGAAATTGGCATCGAAGGCAAAAGAAGCTGAACAAGAGGTACTTAACCGATATACAATAGAATTATCGATGAATTTATCGACGTCGTCAATCTGTGTGTCTGTCCATTTTCCTTTCGTTCTTTCGTTCTTTCATTCTTTCGCTGAAATATAGGCCAAGGACGCTGATCAAAATAAATCAAAGATGCAGCGAATTTTCAAAGAATTGCACGCATTATATGGGCCATCGCGACTACGTCGAATGGCATTGATTTGTCATTACACTTGGTGCGTCACTGCACTTTCATACTATGTGACAGGTAATAATCCCAATTTGTTTTCCTATGTAGACAATTAATTGAACAAGCAATCATCGTTTGTTATTTGTAGCACTGAACGCTGATAACTTGGCGGCAGATCGGGTTGTTTACGTTGCCGCAACAGGTGCTGTCGATTTTACTAGTCTTATTTTATCGATGACACTATTGAATTTCTTCGGACGCAAATTATCATCATGTGGATTGTTCGCATTATCTGGATTCTTTTTACTATCCTTAATTCTTATACCAAGGGGTAAGCGTATTATTGCGACGTGTGTTTCCGTTATTTGATTGTTGATTTTTCTTACCTGCTCATTTTATATCACTTTTCCTCCACAGATAACTCAAATCTAATTGTATTTTGCGCGATGGCTGGTCGCTTTGGTATCACTGCAGTATACTCGATAGTAACGCGTAAGTTACAATCCAATTTAATGCAGTTTACCGTTGTTTTGTGTATTTTCACGTTTCTATGCATTTTTTCTGCAGTGCACACAGCCGAAATGTTCCCAACGAGCATCCGAAACTCGGCATTGGGTACGAGCAGCACATCCAGCCATGTTGGCAGCATAATGGCACCATATGTCGTCGACTTTTTGGTATGATTAAAGTCGATTGAGTTTTAGTTTTCTTTGGATCTATTAATATTTTCGCAATTTTCCGTCACACAGGGACGAATGGCATGGTATATTCCGACAACAATTTGTGGTGTTCTTATTGTGATGGCTGGTTTGCTGTGCCTTACTCACCCAGAAACAAGAGCTAAAGATTTAAAAGACCAAGTTTAAAGCACAAACGCATTTTTTCGATGAAATAATTTTCTGATTATTTTTTTTTCCATTTTTTTTTTTCAATTATTTTATACAAAAAAAAAGTTTTTGTTGCTTTGCGCGCTTCCATCGCACCAAACCAACTAGTGATTTATATGAATATGATCCGTTTTTTTTAGTCTCTAGATAGTAAATTTATCAAAGGCGGTCAAATTATAAGATAAACCGAGCAAATGATTCCTAGATGCATACAAACAGCCAAAAAGGAGAGGAAAAGGAAAGGAAAGAAGTAGCGACGATGACAATTATTAGGACAAATTATTTACAGATGGTGTTATAAGATTGAACATGCAATATTTCGATATATTATCGATAGGAATAACAAATTTTTTTTGCGACAAGAACTTATAAAACAAATTATACAACAATGTTTGACATAAATTACAAAATAAAATTTGTTGAGCCATACAAAATAAAACAAAAAATCAACAACTATTGATTGTCTGATTTCGATACAACGCTTTTGATGAAGTTGGCATTGGAGGTGAAGGCAATGGTCGTATACACGCCAGGCATACCAACTACGCCGCAATCTAAACCGTACGAAGTAATTCCGACAATTGCCAATATGCCTTTGTGGATGCAAAGTAATCCAGAGCCGCTGTCACCCTTAGAAACAAAAGAGAATAGTTTTTATGAATTTTCTGTGGGAAATTACCAGATTTGAGTTTCAGCTTACCAAACATGCATCTACACCCGGATTGGCACCGACCGCACAAAACATTCCCGAATTACGTTCGGGTGCATTCGAAGCACCAAGCTCTTTCAAACATGAATCGTATGATATGATATTGACTGGCGCCAAGCGTAAATCCAGTGTCGGATCACCCGATATCTTTTCGGAACCATAGCCAAAGATGTAGCATGCATCTGGAATGGATTAAACAACAAATTAATCGTTTAATTCACAAATTCAAAATAAATGCCATTACTGACCATTGCAAGCAGTTTTTTCATCGAGAATCACTCGAATCGGATTGAGCCTTGGACGATCACAGGTGCTAAAGTAAACCTTCAGTATGCAAATATCACCGGCCATCGTGTATCTATGGTGTAGAATAAACGTTTTCTTAAATTTTTTGTCATGGATTTTATTTTTTCGGTAAATGTTTCTATGATTCTCACCGATCATAATCCTTCTTATACACTGACACCGTATTATATCGTTCGCCGCTGTAATTCTTCAGGTTTTTTGCACCAAATACAACCGAAATCTCTTTGGCTTTACTGAGAAGAAAAAAAAAACAAAATAAACCGAATCACTTAAAAATGCTCGAATAATCGATCCTCACCCAGAACCATACATATTAACCATGCAGTGTGACGCCGTAATAACATAGCCCGTTCGGTTGAACACTTGCAACAAAACTCCGCCGCAAAAGTGTTTGTAGGTGATTTTTCCGGATGTGGGATTGCGTTCTCGATATTGAATGGACACAGCAAATGAGAATGTTTTATCTGCAAATGATTGAAATGGTTATTTTTTTAGAAAATTTCGCACAATTCACAACATTCACTATGGCAAATTATCAGACCATCAGCTGGAACCGGCTCTCCGCCTGAAATCGGTACACTTTTCACTTGACAAAACACAGATGACAACATCAAATACGCTGCAAAGCGTATCAACACCATTTTTTTACAATAATTATTTCTGCAAATGCACCAATCGAAGTGAATGTCCCCTTTTTCCTCATCGAGTCGAAGAGATTTGATCAAAATTTCTTCTAAAAACTCATTTTCAACTCTGACAAAATGCAAAACGCTTGAAATGTGTAACAGCCTTCTTGGGAAAAGTACGTTGTCATACTGAAGAATTCAATGGAACCTAACAATGTGTAATTAAACACAAAGTCTCGCTGTCTCATTCACAGCGACACTCAAAAATTGTTCAACGTCTGAACAGTTAAAGTTGTTTTTATATGCACTGTCAAACAATCGTAAGTAAATGAGCAGTCAAATTCTGTTCTGACATCAAGGCAAAAGAGAGAACGACAGAGAGAAAAAAAATAACAAATGTTTCAAGACATGTGTGCAAATGTAAACAGAATGCTGCACAGTAGGGTGGGCCAAAATGTAATTCGGTTTTGTTCTGTTATCAAACAAGGGCCGGTCAGCGGTGTTTTTTTTACTTATCACACTCTTATTTTTCAACGAATTCTGAAGATAAAATAGGAAAAGTCGACATTTTTTCTGGAATGCTTTGGAAGTTTCAACAAAACAAACATCCAGTTTGGTTTGTTTTTTTTATCAATTTGGATAAAAATAGTTCTCAACCATCCTAATGCTCGCACAGTTTCGACCGAAAAATGAGTGTGACATATCAGTAAATTCGACAGAATCAAATGCACATTGTCGATAGCATTGTCCGGGACCATATCATGTATGACCACAATATTCATAGATAAATTTCTGTAAGTGATATGCTTGTATGGATGGAAGTAGGAACACTTGAAAGAATTTGTTCCGAGTGTAAAGAAATTGGAACTGTGAATGGAAACACTTTTTTGAATTTTTGTTTCCTATAAAATTTACTCTGGAAAACACTTGCCAAAGTATCACAGATGTTCGGAAACGAAAAGAGAAAAAAAATGAAACTACCTTGACACGTTTTTTGCACGATCAACACAAGTCAAAAGTTTTTATTGTTATTCAATACAATTTCAAAAAATTTCTTTGTACTTGTTTTAAACGGAAATTATTGTATTTTGTATGCATGAATCGATCTTATTTTTCTGTGTATCGAACTGACGGTTTTTTTAAGTAGATAATTTTTCAATGTTGTTTTTTTGTAATATGTTTATCTAAATGTTCATTGATATTTTAACGTATTGATTTTTTTTGCATTGACATGTGGCGTTCACCCACCAATTCATTTTAATTCCAGTCAATAAACATATAACAATCGGTAAAGTCTTATAAAGTTTGCGGTCGGAAGTAATATACAAAGGCTACCGTAAATCACTTTTCTTATTTTATCGTCTTCTAAAAGAACTCTTCCAAGAACAGCTTACTCGATTTCAATTTATTTTGGCTTTCAAAGCATTTTTCTAAGTATGAAAACCTAGGGATAATACATAGTGTATTACTTTCTATGTCATCTTATATTACTTTTTCAGCAGCGTTGTATTACTTTTGAGTGATTTGCCCAGTGTAGAAATAAATGTAATTTATATTCTTTCAAAAAAATATGGACTTTTTATGTTTAATTTTTAAAAAAATATTCGATACAATTGTTAATGGTAAAGTATTCATTGTTATCAAACGCGATCCGTTTAATTTTTCTTTTGTCAATGAATATGAATACAAAAAATATCGTTTGTTTGAATTAACATAGTTTTTGATTTGATTTTCTGATACCGAATTCAAAACCATGCACACAAACTTGAATTGTCATTGCCCCATTGATCGATTTTTTTGTTTATTTCCATTCGTTTGATTTTGTGGCGCGATTTTTCAGGGTATTGATCCTTGAATTTGGCAATTAGTTCCGGTGTAATGTCTTCTGCAATTAGAATAGCATTCATATTACTTATTCAGTATACTATTATTACCATCAAGTCTATCTTACCGTGATCTGAGAAGCAGTTGGCTTCGATGGCGAAGCATTCAAAGAGAAGTGCATTCGGAATTGCACGTACATCGTTTACTTCGATCGTTTGCATGTTTCCATAGTCAAGGAAATGCATCGTCACAAAACCATCGAAACAAACTTCAAGGCAATAAGCACGATACCAGTGACCTTTGTGTCTAACGGCACAACATTCTTCGTTTCTGCAAAAAAGAGAGATTTTAGCCTCAAATATCGAATTTTTTATTCGTTCAACTCACTTTGGCGTGTAGCACGCGTCCGCTTTGAATAGGTAATTGCAAATGTTTTGAATTCGTCGATCATTTTGGAGGAATTTTTGAAAATCATCAGCCTTAATGAATGTGAGGAATGACCATCCAATCTCTGAATTATCCAAAATAATCACTTCTACACCGGACATTTCTTTGGGATCCAAATTTTGTCCACACCGTTGGTTGAATTCTTTCCCGAAGAAAATCTGCATCGAAAATAAAGAAAGCAAAATACAATTAATTCTCAAATTGACAAATTCTAGTGCCTCGTTTCGCATACCCGATATGACATATCTTTGATGTATGCCACTTCGATATCTTCGATGTTGAGTGAGTTGATCATTTGATTGACCCATTTGTCCGAAGCTCTCAATTCGGCCATCGGTACCGTGTCATTTGAATCAAATTTGATTGTCAATTCGCGAGCATGTGCCATTATATTGTACAAGTACTTGAGTGCCTTTTCATTCATGAAATCGTCATCAATCTTGTTCAGTCTTATCTTTGTTGCGAATCGTTTTCGATTCTTCAATTCGTCCGGCATGGCTTTCAATTCATGGAAATCACGAATTTCCACATTACCAAAATCAATAAAAGCAACGGCCACTTTTGTATTGTCAACGTGTTTCAGCACCAAGGCACGTTGATAGTAATCGAACTTGGCTAGCACCAGAGAACCAACGGAGGGCAAACTTTGGAACGCTTTGGCATCTCTAGCATACTTGACAGTGTCACACATGAGTCGTACAAATGCAGCCTCCTGTTGATCATCCGCTGGTCGAACAAACACTAAACGATGATTTATAACAGCCGTTATTTTGACCGTTTGCAATTTGGAAATTGGCTCGGCTTCAATACGACCTGGAACCGATGATGATGATGACAACAAGAACGCTCTGGGTGACATTATCTTTTCATTTTCGATTTTATTTGATGGCTTCGCCTCATTCAATTGTTTCTGTTTGGCTGCATGACATTCCAGCGAACACTGCGGTTCGTTGCAATTTTTGCACATCTTGTCAGCCGCTCGTGGACAATTAGCACACTTTGAAATCGACGCCAACAAGTCGGAATTGAAACTGAATATTTTCTGGAAAGAACATTTGAACATTTTGTTTTATTTTTTCATTTTCTTTAAATATAAAGCATTTTCACCTTGTCCGCAGCAGGCGACACATTGTTCTCAGTTGGCTTAACTGTATTCGATTTTCTGTAAAATATGTAATAAAAAATGACGGATGATTAGAATTGAATGACTTTGGAGAAACAACGGAATTGCAATGAGGAAAAATGAAATACATATTCAAGCTCATTCATAGCGAATTGAACCCAACTGGTCATAAAAAGTACCGCTTATTAAAATTGTTGTGATTCTACGATCGTCTAGTAGTAGTACTTGGATGACTATAATTTGCACGTTTTAAATCATATCAAATGTCAAAATCTTTGAAGTCATAAAATAAATAGAAAAATTGAGCATAAAAATGGATCGTAAAAACTACAATGTTGCTCTAAGCTATTTCGTGCGTGTCTTTTTCATGAGAATACCAATTTCCGTTTATCTGTCAAAACAAAAGGTCAGTGAATTAATTATTATGTTTATTGATTCATTTGAAATGCTAATTTGCATTGGTTCCTTGTGCTTGCGAGCGGTTCATTTAGGTCTTTTTTATGAAAAAAAAAATTGAATGTCGTTCTCTGTTGAGTATTTGTCACCTTACAGAAAAAATGTCAATAGAAAAAAAAATAAACGAAGATCTGCCAAAGTTTTCTAAAAGTCATGTATGCTACAATACACATAAGCATACGGCGAATATAGGCGCCCAATGGGCGTTAGCATACATTGTGTTTGTTCATTTTTCGCTGACTAAACAGAATACTTGTGAAATGCGGTGTCAACTTACAAAATGGCGCGGCCATGCACAATTGTTCTGTTGTTGTTCGTTTCGAATTCAATATTTGCTTCAGCATTTGAATCCCATAGAAAGTCTTTCGATGGATCAGCCAACAGCAGAAATCTATTTCGATAGTCTTTTCCTTGAACCAATGAATCGATTGTGATTTCTACTGGATCTACGAATGGTCCCTTGATTTTTCTGAAACAAATGGATTTTTGTATTGTACAAAAGTTGATTCAGAAAATAGGGTCGTCAATAAAACGCCATCTTGACTTTTTTGTGCTACAGTCCAAACCATACCTGGAACTCAATTCGAGCACATTTCGCAATGGAGTGTTATCTTCAACCAGCATTGGTTTGTGCAGAAAATCATAATCATCGTTGTTCACGTTTGGCAATTGTTCCCTTTCCCTTTCCCTGGCAATTTCGACGACAATGTTCAATGTCGGATTGTCATCTTTGAAACGTCGCAAAATGTTGTTGGCTTCTCTGTAAATGTACAATTTGATTAGAAAAAGCATTGGCTACTTACATTGGCCAAGTGAACCTTCTGATAATGCATTTGAAATGGAAATGAATGTTCATCATTTTTAGTACTTACTCCGCAGATTCGTATTGAACAAAGGCAAATTGTACATTTGGTGGTTGGTTTATAAATTGAACTTTGCCATACAATCCACACATGCTCAACAAGCCATCTCTGCTGAAACCGTTTGGGATGTTCTTCAATATAACTTTGTCACGTTTTTGACCGTTGAATGGATCTGGCATCGGTGGCACTTGCCAATCATCTTCATTCTCAACCATGATGGAAATTATGGAGATTTTTTTTCCTTTGCAAACGTTAATTTTCCGCGTGTTTTGTTCAATTTCACTACTCTGTTTGTTTAGGTATAGTACCAATTCGTAGAGTTTCAAATTGATTGTATTCGGCTCGAGTGACAGTTCTCTTGACATTTGCTTGAAAACAAGCTCACTCAACTCATGGTTTTTTGTGAAGTTTAAATACCAATGGTTGCTCTTCGGTTGCACAACGAATTCTTTTCCTTTCGGTTTGGTTTTTTTGTTTTCTTTTTCTTGTCGAAATAAACGATTGAACCCGGAAAAATGTATGAAGAAAATTGTAATTCGTGATGTTGCAAATAATATCAATATAAAATTTATTCTAATAGACAATAGAAACATATTCCTTCCGTTCATTTGTATTTCGTTAAGTACTTCAAAGCTTGATTAAGTATGACGCAGCTCATAAACACTGAAGCAGATGTGAGAATGTTGTTCCACATTGTGAATATCAGTTGTGTGGAACCCGTCAAAAGCCAGTTTTTCTTATAAGAATCAGTTCGAAATTCTGTTTAGAATGATACGTTATGTATCTATGAATGAAAAATATGCGATAAAGGTGAACGGTTTTAGTCGAAGTATGCTTTGTATGGTTCAGATTGTTTTATACGCAGAAAGAGCTGTGTTACCGAAGTCAACATTCAAAATCTAACAGATTGTTATCAATCCGTTATGGTCGTTTCCACAATAAGTATACAAACCGTTGATATAGATCAATAGAGAACTGAATCCGTAGAGACCTTTGCCTACAAAAGTATACTAAAAAAGAATGGAAAATGAAGAAATGGAACTGGTTTTGTTTTTTCATTCAAATGATTTAATTTTATTGTATATATTAGAATATTTTATCTATATATTCAATTAGATAGATCGATTTTTCTTTTCGATAATTTCTACTGGTTGGTTATTCTATTAAAGTGAAATGGTGTGCAATGTTCATGTTTTTTATGCATTGAATGTTTGGCCAAAACGCCCATTTTCAAACTTAAATCCATAAATTGTTCACAATTCAGTTCGGAGAAAATATGGTGTATTTTCGCCTTGGTGCATAAAAATTGACCATTTCATTAAATAGAATAGACTCCATAGGAGCCATAATATATGTTTTTAATAAAAAAAAATTTGCTTCAATATTTTGTATAATTTTGGTTTTTAAATCGATTGTTGTTTTTTGTTATTCTTGTTGTTGCAGTCAAAAGAAAAATATGTGAAAGTAATTCAAGTCGTGATCATGTTGTAACATTGTTGTTACATTGAAACGTCCATACTCGGTTCTGATTCGTACATGTGAAATTGTTCGAAAGCAACGAGCGGAAAGCGACGGAAAAACGATCTTGAAATCCTTCACAACGAATATGAAAATCAAATACAAATCAAAATCACGCGACTATTAAAAATGAACACACATTGTAAACACACTCGATAAAAAAAGGAAACAATGCAAATTATTCCGTAGTAAGTAGTACTACGGATAAATGAATTAGGTGAATTAGATTGTTGGAAGCTATCTTCCATATATAAAAAAAAAATAAATATTCATACTAAAAATTGAAAACACTGCAAAATGATTAAATTTTTCAGACGATTTTTTTGTCGCACATTTTATTCGAAGTTAATTTTTGTTTGTTTGATTTTTTTGCTTTTTGAATTGATTTATAAAATTGTTTGAGATTGGTTTTTTTTTAGTTTTTCTTCTTTTTTCTTCTTCGTTCTAATAAAAATAATTTCATTTTGTTATTTGAACAATGTGGGAAATAGGAATAAAAATTATTGTTTTTTTTTGTTTGTTTTGCACCTTGTCAAAATTGCTAAAATTTATGCGTTGGTTTTTTTTCTTTTCGTTTTCTTCATTGTGGCGAGATTTCCTACTATTTTCGATTCCTTTTGAATATCTTCTGAACACCGACTGAATTTCCATTTCGCATATTATTTTCAAATGACTTGGGTCGCTTTTTTGCTATATTTTCTGCATAATTTAATTTAGGTTTCAGTGTCTTTTCTCTTTCTCCTATGTTTAGTTACTTTTTTGTTTCCATACCTATGCTTTTTTTTTCATCTCGTTTTTTTTGCACTAATTTTATGAAAATTTATAATTTAAAAAATTGAGTTTTTTTCCTTCAGAAATTGCTATAAATTTTTTTGTTTAAATTAATACTACAAATGGATTTCATTCCGATAATTCTTAGCATTTTACATTCGATTATTTACAGCGTTTTCTTTGTTCTTTGTGCTCTGGCATACTGTGTTTATCCATTCATGGCATTTCTTTTAGCATAAGATTTTTGTTGCGCTTATAAATTAATGGGTGTTGCTTTTCACTTTTTTCCTTCTTTCTCTCTCTCTCTCCCCCTCTTTCCCGATAACTAAATCGTTTCGAGAGAGAAAAACAAAGTGTTTTTCGATGCATCTCTTTTTAAGTAAAAAACAAAAAATTTATACGATCAAGAATCTATGGGCTAAATCACAGATTAAATTAAATAAAAAACATTTTGTTAATCATCTAACATATAAAAATAAAAAAAAAACATTCTTTGAAAAGCCATTGAATTGGAAAACTGCCTTAGTCGGATCTTATTTCGTTAAAAACTGGTTTTGCATGAGAGCTGTCTGTCGCATTTGATTGGTGTTTTTACGGAGGGGGGGGGGGGGGGTAACACTATCATTTTGAGATTTTTGTTACTGTATTTTTTTGGTTAATAAATAAGATTTCGTGATTTTGTTTTCACCAGACGATTTGTTGATCGGCTAGCACTCTTTTGGTCACCATTCCAGCTCTTTGACTTGGCACGGAAATGACGGTATGCGGTTGTGAACATTGGGTCCAACATTTGACGATAGTTGATTGGATCGCAAAGTTCTGGATAGGATTCAAAGAAATCTTTGTAGCCACCGTGCAACAAATAGATTTCTGGATAGTGCAATGCTGGATAAGCATGCTCATTGCGTGACCGATCGTTATTGCGAAGGAAACGAGATCTGTAAAGAGAGAGGGGAAACGGTTCATCAGTAATCGTATCCACCATACTTATGCTCAATGCATGTGAAAACATTGAAATATTGTCAGAACAAAAAAATGAAGAAGGCATTTCATGACACTTACAATTTTGGTCCTCGTTCCGATGAGAATTCACAGTGGAATACGATGATGTTGCGCATTGGCTCATCGGAAACAAGTTTGGGTGTATCAGTCTTTGAGTTTACTAGTTCGGTCAGTATTTGTTCTTGCGTGAATAAGTTTTGTGCACCACGAATGTGACCGCCCTCGAATTCGTATGGATACCGACAATCCACAACCTTGAACGATGCAACTGAGTCTTTGTATTCGCCGCGCAACAGTTTGGCCATGGTGTGCGTTGAGATTGATCTCAAATCGCTGTGACGTCCTTCGGTCAATGGCAAACAGAATGGCCGGCTGAAGTCACCGATCAAATGTGGTTCGGATGATGCTATTGAAAGAAACTATTGATTAGATTTCAATTCTCAAAAAAAAAAAAAAACAAAAACAAAAACGTTTGGATTCAAGTTGAAATATTGAAAATTCAATTGTGTAAACTTACATCGTGAAAGGGCGTTCATGATGATATCGTCGTTCATTGACATTGATTTACGAAGAATGGGTCGTGCGATGGGCAAATCATTTGAATTTTCTTTGTCTTCGCTACTTTGCTTGTACCGTTTGCTTTGCACTGGGCTGCCGATGGTTGGTGGTTCGGGCCGTTTGAATGTCTTGATGATACCGTTGAATGGTGGGTCACTTTCTGGGATAGTTTTCAGTGATTCAGGCGTTCGTGGGCCAAGATTAACATTGCCATCGGTCATGCTGAGGCATCGACGGAAAACGGGTGTTGTTGTTTGTGGAATGGAGGTGGTTGATTTGATGTTGCCGCTGATGATTGAATTGAACGATGTTGGCAATTGTGCATTATCATCCATCGATTCCATGTCGAGTAAATCCATGCAGTCATCGTCCATCGATTCCATTGAGTCGGACGACAGGCTGTTGAACGATCGGAAGCAGCTAATTGATTTTGGCGATGTGCGCGCAGTTTTTGGTGGGGATGGTTTTGGTGGCAGTGCATTTGGTTGGGCAAATGTGAACATTTTGCTGCTATTATTACTGTAGCCCGAATCCATTGAGTTGAAATCGATGTCGTGGCGATCTTCGATGGTTTCACTCTCACGTAGCGGTGACAACAAACCCATTTCGAGGCAGGGACTTATCGAGCATGGTCTTGGGCTGCCTTGTGGTGTGTTGCCCGAGTACAGTGACATTTCTTCGGATGACATTTTCACGGGTGAATTTGATGAATCGTCAAAGTTCAATGGAGCTATGTTCAGTCGGCGTCCATGCGTCGTAGACGATATAACATTTGAATTGATGCTCAAGGCATTGAGACTGCAAAATAGAAAGAAACAGAAAAGCAAAAGTTAGATTCATCCGAAACAATAAAGCCTTAAGCACATTAAACTCAAAGAAGAGAAAAAATTATGATGACATTCGTTCATTCTTATTATGCTTCGTGGTGTTGTTTCACACATTTCCAACAATCCTTATTCAATGTTATTCGTACGCATAGGTTTTATTTTTTTCTTTCCTTTCCTACGTGCAGTAACAAATGTTGCATGGAAAAAACACAGCGTATGCAAGCACGCCAGGCATTCTTGTCCGTATGTGTCTATTAAATTGTTTAGTCTGTCCAAACGATCGCTACGCACGGAAGAATATTATGTCGAGGGTTGAATGCATGTGTTGGTGTACCACACATTGTATGCGTATGTGTGGCTGCTGTTGCTGCTGCTGTTGCTGCTGCTGTTTTTCCTCGCTTACAGGAACATTATACAACATACAATTTATGTTTGTTATGTATGCTGTTCGCTCCGAAATTGAAAAGTGCATACAAAATAAATACTACAGAATGCGCACACGCATACATACATGCACACACAGACGTGATCGGCAGTGAGACCCCTTGAGCATTTCACTTAAATGAAGTGAACGAGCGAGTGAGCAAGCGAGAGGAGCAGAGGAAAAAAAACACAGCACACAAGCCAAGAGAGAATTCTACATCTGTACATTTTGATATTGCTTTTATATCTACTGCATAGACTAGGGGACGCATTCTATTTTTACACATTTCTACGATCAGAAAAACGCATATTGACATATGTACACATCGCGTTTGAACTCATGGTTTAAGTTTCTTCTTCTTCTTCTTCTTATTCTTTTACTCTATGCCGTGTCTCTACACAGCGCATAGAACCGAATGAAGAAATGTTAATTAATGAATTACTATCTTTCTATCCGTCGATAGAAACGACGGTAATTGTTTTTTTTTCTTCCTTTCTTTCATTTATGTGTGTATGTCGCGTTTTGAGTCGAAATGAGCAACTCATAAAATACCATTTTATCCTGCACGCAAAGGTGTGCACACCACATTTCTCTGTCTTCGCTTTGAATCGAGTAATTTGTATTTAGATGGAGAGTGTATTTTATGTGTGTGTGTGTACTTTTTTTCGCGCGTTCACGCGCCAATTCATTCAACTGGATCGCATTGACAGCAGCATATAACAGCATCAGAATCCTGAATCAAGCCACACTATATTCGCTGTATCAACAAATAAACATTGATGATTTAGATTTCGCTTGACAATCAAATGGCCAATTATGTGTCACACACACACATACATTCCGAATTCGATCGTATTCGATTTTTCATGTCGATACACAACGGTGGCAAAAGGAAAGAAATACACACTCCGTTTGTTATTTCACTTTCGTAGCTTCATTCTTACTCAATAAGAATGAATTGATATGTGCCAGTAAGATTTTTAAGATGCACACATAAACAGAATTCGTAGTATAATGAAAAAAAAACAGAAAACAAAATGCGCTTGCTTTTGATTCGGAAACCAAACAAAATCACGGCATTGTGTATTGCTGCATTGAGACGGGCGAATGAGCATCGAAGGATAAAGAAAGATGAAAAACTTGAAAGAAACATATTAAGAACCGAATGCGAAAGAGAGTGAGAGAAACGAGCGAACGAGCAGTTTTCGAAGATGAAAACGACAAAAAGAAGTATGCCGAGAAACCCACAAACATAAATAAATTGATGAAGAATACAGAAGATAACACAGGAGAAGAAAAAAAACAGCGACGATGACGATGACGACGACGACGACGACACAGAATGAATAAAAGAATCCAGCACAAGAATTGTATTCTTCACTTTTACCTCTGAGACTGATTTCGTTTTTAGCTTCATTTTCGTTTCAGTCAATTTTTTTTCTTCTTGCGTTAGCCTATATGCTGGACATACGGGAGTGAATGATTTGATTGTAGTGAGTACACGGGAGATGAGATATATGTGGCGATTAGTTTTATGTTCCGAAACGGAATAAACTATTCCTGTCTATTTTATGCTCGTATAAAGAGAGCGAAAGATAGAATAAAACGCGGAATCCCACTCGAATACATAAGACGAAGCATATGATAAAAAGCAACATGGAAAATGATGCAGCATATGCAGAACCCAGACCAGTTCAACAAACACGGAATTAACTCCGAATGTTAAATAAGCCAATGGTCAGCAAAAAAAAGAAATGAAAACATTTTCGTTTCACTTTCATACGCACTTTTTTCCTTTCTGTTCTTTCGTTCGTTCTTAGTCATCACTGTCTCGCAGAAAAAAAAAACAAATTATTTGAATATTTTCGAAAGGCAAGGGGCTTTTCGCGCCCATTCAAAATTATGATTATGTTGTAAATTAACCAATTACACAATTAACACTGCGCGATCTCATTTTCACCAACTGGTTATGACGACGACCAACCAAAATAAACGGCGCCACAATTTCTTTTTGTCGGATTCTAATTTTCATGCACTTGAAGAAACTAACACACGAATGTCTGAGCCGTTAATGATTAACGCAAATATGGAAAGTGAAGTGAGAAAGAGAGTGAAGTGGGAAAAAAAACGAGCGAATTTCGCACACTCTTGACCTACACCAATTTATAAGATTTTTAAGCTAATTCAACATGCATGTTACGCGACATACAACGAATCACACTTGAATAAATATATATATCGCTTGCTGGATTAATGTAGTAGAGAAAAATGAATTTGTGTGTGTGTGTTGAAACATTGCATCAGATGATCTCAGTTTTGATCGTGCTTCGAAAAATGTTTTCCAAAAAAACGAATGAATGATGACGTTTTCGGTGTTTTCATTAAAACATTTTTCGGTGAGACCATCTTGAGCGTAGTGCCATCGAGGAATGAATTCTATTTCTACTAATGATACTGAAATCATTAATAATTACCTTGTACATTCATAGACATCACAGTTTTCCTCACTCATATTTTCCCACAACATTTTGAATATATATATATATATATATATAGATATTTGTTTCTAGCTTCTTCCTCAATGTAATTCAAACTGAATGATCAGTCGTAATGTCCGTACATGAATGAAATATGAGTTTCAAGTTCGTCAAACAATTATAGACACTTTTGAATTAGGATTAACTAATTCAATTTACACACACGGCTTAAAATTTGAACAAAAAAAAATATATATGACAATCGAACAGAGTATTTATAATTTTCACTTAATTTTTATCCATATTATACAATTTGATGGTTTTGGGAATAATTTTTCACACTGTTGGTCTTATATTATCTCTCTCTCTCTCTCTCTCTCGTTCTCGAATCCTTCGAACACAAAATGTTATGCACGTAAATGTTTTTTTTTCTCTTCATTTATTTTTATATTTGATTTGTTCTTGTCGAAATTATTTCATTTACTTGTTAATTTAGGAAATGTTCATTTTGTTTCGATTTTCGGTATTGATCTGATGCAGATGTCTATGATATGCGTGTGCGCAAAGTAAAAAAAAATACAATCTAAACATCGATGACGACGAACCAAACTCAACTGACTTAACTGGCTCTGCGCTGCTTACTTTTATCGATTCAATGCGTCTACGGTGTACCCCCCACTACTATGCGCATGCTCGATTCGTAGCCTGCAAAAGGAGCGCGCGCATACGAGCAACCGATTGCTACCGGGGTTGTATGTTTTCGTCTCTAAGGTTCAAGCAACTCAACGGAGAGACGGTGTTTGTGTGTAGTGTAGTGCGCACACAGCGCACAAAACGGATACCGAGAAAAATCGAGCCGTGTGTATGTGTGTAAGTTACCGCTTGAACTCGGAACATTCGTACCAAACATACAGTTGAATGTACGCATACACGCACTGTGTCACATATGATCGCGCGCTAACATTTTTTTCTCTTCATCTGTATGGGCTTCAGTGTGTGTACTCTAACTACACCACTATGCAAGGGATCGTCGACCAATACACCGAATATCACCTATACTAAATGGCATATATTTATTCAACTAGGCATCGACCGCACCATGGAAAAATGAACATCATTTCGACAGCCAAAAGATTTCAACAATATTTTCAATTCAACATTGCATCAACCAATGAACTCATCAATGCATTTCCTTATTGAAATCCACATTCAATGATTCAATCCAAAAATCAGAAAAAGAAACTATGCAATGTGACACATTGACAGTTCATTGCAGCAATTTTTGCCGCGAAGTGATAAAAATTCGCACGAATACATCCATGAATATATGAATACATATAAAAGTCGGCGCGACTGTGATTCCTTATGAAGTATGCATGTAGTTTGACATCCGTACGAAGTGAACGCTATGAAGTAAACATGTATATGCTGTCCTAATGCTCTCCGTGTGTGCAAAAGAAATTGCTTAGAGAGATAGAAAGAGAAAAAGATTACGGTGCGGTGTAGTACAATGCGAACGCATCGCTACCAAAACGTAAGAAGCAGAATGGGAAGAAAAAAAAACAAGGTAGCCGAAAAAAAGCTATATATGTATGTCCTAATGGACCGTTTTGAAATGCCTGAGACACGATCATATCGCAGAGGGTCAATTGCATGTGTGTATGTGCGCAAAGCATCGCAAAAGCCAGATTTTTTGTTTCATTCGTTCGAATAGAAGCATCAGAGTGGAAAAAGAAGGGACCATGCATACGATGCCGCAATATAAGACGGGAGAAAAGAATTTCAGGCAAGCGTGACCTTGCGAATCAGCTGATTGCCGATACAGAGATCGAATATACCATAGCGAAAATAAAATTCCACTGCAGTGGTAGTTTTTGACTGTTCGCCCAACTTTTCATGTCGTGACAGCAACTGCACGTCGATGTCTTGACTGTGAGATTTTTCGTAGCCGTGAAAATGCATTCGCATCTTTTTGATTCCATTTGACCATATACTTCACTTTGCATTACAATTTTCTGGTGGCAACGGTGACGGTAGCACAAAAACAACCTGTCATACATCTACATAGTA